AGCTGACAGGAATAGCCAACACTCCAAAATATAGGCTTTAGTCACCACGATGTGAAAAAGATGTTGAGACTCTAGAAAGAGTACAGAGAAGAGTAACAAAGATGATTAGGGGACTGGAGGCTAAAATATATAAGGAACGGTTGCTGGAATTGGGTATGTCTAGTTTAGGGGTTGGCAACCTTAAACACTCAAAGAGCCACTTGGACCCATTTCCCACAGAAAAAAAATACTGGGAGCTGCAAAACTCACACATGCATGCGTGCCCCCTGGAGGAGGGGGCTTGATTGAAGGGTTTAATTAAAAAGAAATAGAGGCTGCTGTGCATGAGTTCTCTCTCTCCCCCCGCTCCCTCCCTCTCTCTCCCTTCCTCTCTTTCTTTTCCTCCCACCCTCTATCTCCCCCTCTCTCTGATCTTCTGCTCACCTGACCAGCTGTCCTGATGCTGTTCTCCAACAAGTTGACACACATTCTTATTGGGCTGGCTCTCTCCTGCCCTTGGTCTGCCAGTCCTCTTCCCCCAATCAGTGTGAGTGTGTGTGTGTGTGTGTGTGTGTGTGTGTGTGAGAGAGAGAGAGAGAGAGATACTGCTTTCTGCTGCTTCCCGCTTCCTACTTCCTGCAGAGATGCAGCAAAGGCAGGAGCCCTGCTCAATAAGCTTGTCAGCTTATCAGAGAATAGTGTGAGGCCACTCTCTTTTTCACACACACACACACACACACACACACACACACACACACACACACACAGAGAGAGAGAGAGAGAGAGAGAAGAGAGAGAGAGAGAGAGAAGGGAAGTGCAAGTGCCTCTCTCTTCTCTGTCTCTCTCTCTGCAAATGGTGGAGGAGGAGTGGGAGCTGCAGGAAAAGGCTCAAAGAGCCACATGCGGCTCCAGAGCCGCAGGTTGCCAACCCGTGGTCTAGTTTAATGAAGAGAAGGACTAGGGTTAACATGATAGCAGTGTTCCAATATCCCAGGGGTTGCCATAAAGAAGAGGGAGTCAAGCTATTCTCCAAAGCACCTGAAGGCAGGACAAAAAGCAACGGATGGAAACTAATTAAGGAGAGAAGCAATCTAGAACTAAGGAGAAACTTCCTGACAGTTAGAACAATTAACCAGTGGAACAGTCTGCCTCCAGAAGCGGTGAATGCTCCAACACTGGAAGTTTTTAAGAAGAGACGACAGCCATTTATCTGTAATGGTATAGGGTTTCCTGCCTGAGCAGGTGGTTGGATAGATGACCTCCAAGGTCCCTTCCAACTTCATCATCATCATTATTATTATTATTATTAAGCAAGTTCTTAATTTAAAATCTAAATTAGGGAATCCCCAGAAAATGACTACAAAGAAAGAACAAGGAACCCAGAAAATAGAAGAGAGTTTAGAAAAAAATGATCCAAAGTCAGAGAAAATAAAGGAAGGAAACTATAGACTGACACAGACAAAGAAAAATATTGAAGACCCAGAGATAATATCAGAAATGGAAAGAACACACCATCCCTTAAGACCTCAGAATATACTTGAAAATAAGGAAGAAGATTGTATAGAACATACTATAGAGCCCTCAAAAGAAGTGTTAGGAACTGGGAAACAAGAAATGAAATGAAAAGAGAAGCTGAGGGAGGAGGAACGTGGGAATACGACTGGGCTGAACTCCCCCTCAGAAATACTTTACTCAAATGGCTTTTCCTGTCACAAAGAGTACCCATAAATATTGAGGAAAAATGCTTTGATAATTTAAATACACGGTTTTGGAAGCCTATTTGGCAAATAAAGAAGGCTAGTTTAATGAAGAGAATGATGAGGGGGGACATGATAGCAGTGTTCCCATATCTCAGGGGCTGCCACAAAGAAGAGGGAGTCAAGCTATTCTCCAAAGCACCTGAATAATAATAATAAACTTTATTGGCATTGTATGTGTATATATAATGAAAGATGAAAGAGCATCGAGAAATACATCAGTAAGATGGCACCCAAAGATGAACTGCTGAGAGAATGCCTGAAGCAGCAGCAGATATGGAAGATCAAGCAGAGGAAGTGCCATGGCAAGACAAGACCCTATATAGGATCTATCAATGACAGATAACTGAAGTGGCGGACATTGGGAAATCCTACCAATGATTGGAAAGAGCTGGAAGAAAAGATAGCAGCACAAGAACAGGCATTAAGCACCAGCTCCATAGAAGCAGGACCTACCACACTAGACAGGACCTAATTGCAGATTGTGCAGAGGGGCCTCAGAGATAGTCCAACATATAATGGCAGGGTATAAGATGGCAGGAATAGCATACAGTGAACAGCACAACCAAGTAGCTGGCATTGTATAACATCTGCACAGAATACAGGCTAGACCATCCTAAGTCCAGATAGGAGATCCCACAGAAGATCATGAAGAATAAGAAAGCTAAAGACATGTAAGGTCTTGTCTCAGCTATTGCTTCCAAGAAAGCAAAACTCCTGAAACTGACATCATTTCAAAGGGAACTTTTATTGAGAGACAGTGATAGAATAGCAAGGCAAGATCTGAAGAATTCCCATGCAAAACATTACATTAAAACTCTCCCTTCAACCCCTCCCCAGTGCCCAATGGTTCAGTATGATTTTGGCCAATTCACAGATGTGACGTTGTTATGGGAATCGAGGTGATAAAGCCACAGCTCTCAGGCATTTTGTTTTTGTCTCGGTCTCTTCCCAGCAGAGTAAAGATAAGACAGAAATGCCCCAGGTACATTCCTCCTCCCTTTCTCACCCTGAGGGATGCATCAAAGGTGAAAGAACAAAGTAAAAGAAATGCATCCCAAAGCCCACAGAGCTCCCCCCTCCCCAAAGAGTGAAACCTCCCCCTCCCAACAGAATGGCAGTACCTGAAAACAAAATGAAATTAATATATAGTTTGAGGATCAGACATGCTGCTCCCCTAAAAGAAGGGGAGATCCACCTGGAGAAATAGAAAATAATAAAAATGGAGAGAAAAGAAATGAGAAGTTAGTTAGGTTTGTCCGGATAATGTGCATGAAAGCATTTGAGTAATCTTGGGGTTCTAACATGTTTTTTATGGACCCATTCATTTTGGGATGCTGGGCGGTCCTTCCAACCACAAGATACTGGATAGCTCCATGGTGTTTATGGGAGTCTAGTATTTCTTTGATTTCAAAATGCTGCTCACCCTCTATCATAATGGATTGTGGTGTTGGGGCTGTCATTGGCCGTAAAGGCAAGTTTATCTCATGTTTTAATAAACTGCAGTGAAATACGGGGTGGATCTGCCTTAATGCTTTGGAAAGTTCTAGTTCTACTGTAACTGGGTTTATGATGTGTTTGATGGGGAAGGGACCTACATATTTTGGTCCTAACTTTTTGGAGAGCTGCAATGATTGTAAGAACCTAGTAGATAGGTGTACTCTGTCCCCAATGTGGAAAGGTTTAGGTTCCACTCTCTTTTTATCTGCTTGAGATAGGCTTCTCTGGCCTCATCTAGATCTTTTCTAACAACCGGCCAGGTGTTTTGCAGCTGATTCATCCATTACTTAAGGGAAGGGATGGTGGATTTATTAGCTGGCAGTTCAGATATTGGGTTAAAAATCTGTCCTGCGGCCACTTGGAAAGGGGTGTATCCCATGCTAGAGTGTATGGCATTGTTAAATGCCACTTCAGCAAATGGTAAAAGGTCACTCCAATTATCCCGTTGGTAGTTGATGAAGCTTCTCAAATACTATTCCAGAACCAAGTTCGTTCTGTCCCCCATTCGTTTGAGGATGATGACTAGAACTCAAGTCCTGTTCTGTGCCCAAGAGGTCCAAAAACGCCTTCCAGAACTTTGAGGTGAATTGGACCCCTCTATCTGAAATTATATGGTGAGGGGCCCCATGCAGTCAGTAAATATGTTTGGAGGAACAGCTTCGCTAGGGTCTTGGCAGTTGGGATCTTCTGGCACAGGATAAAGTGGACCTGCTTTGAAAACAGGTCAGTCACTACCCAAATGACAGTGTTTCCTGCGCTTTCTGGCAGTTCTATAGTGAAGTCCATAGAGATCTTTCTCCAAGGTGCTGAAGGGTTTGCTACTGGCTGCAAAAGGCCAGGCGTTTTTCCTTGTCTTTATTTTGGTGCTGCACAAGTTGGGCAGCTGGCCAAATAACTTTCAATGTCCTTTTATAACGATAGCCACCAGAATTGCCACCTCAATAAGTGTAGGTTTTTTACAAATTCAAAGTGTCCCACAAGTTTTGAATTGTGGGAGACTTGCATTGTTTTCAGTCTTTGGGTGGAGGGGACGTACAGATCTAGATACATAGGCAATTACTAGCCAATAAATCAGACATTGTGGTAGTAGACAAGGTTCAAATGTTAGTGGTTGTGATAGATGTAGCAGTGACAAGTGGCAGCAACATCAGGAAGGAATAGAGCTGCTGAAGAAGTATCAGGATCTGAAAGACAAACTGCAGAGGAAAGATCAAAGTGGACTAGTGGTGGTAAGAGCACTGTGACTCCTAAGCTAGGAGAGTGGCTCTTAACAGATTCCAGGAACAACATCAGAGCTCTCTGTCCAAAAGAGTGCAGTGCCAGGACATTTGAGATCCTGCACAGAACCCTCAAATTCCCAGGTGTCTGGAAGTATTTTTTGGTAATACTGGCAAGATAATCACAGTGTTCTTGGGATGGGAAGGAATAAGAGGAAATGGTAAATATTCTGCTTCAAACTCCAAATGAAAGGTGGTATACTAATCTAGTATATCTCATAAAGCAAACAAAAGTACAAAACTAAAACAATCCTCCAGTAATTATACTTTGCCATTTCAATTCATTTTTTTCATTTAAATTTTGGTAATCCTTTCTTGCATTACAATTAGTATAAAATTTTAAAACTTTAAAAGGAAAGCACTAATACTTCATATTTTGCTCAGTGTAAAAATATTACAGCATATAAATGTGGCATGCTTCTATGATAATATAATTTTAGAAAGAACATTTTCTAATCTTCCAATCATTTATAAAATTTTATTATAGGGCTCTATATCTGAATCTTGTGGGCCTCTGGATAGCTCTGATTTTTGCATCACTGGATGGAATATCAATGTATTCAATATACAAGGATTGTGATCCATTGACATCCGGAATTGTATCAGCCCCAGATCAGGTTTAGTATTTGGTACAAGTGAAATATTTGTCATTTGGATTTGTTGTATCTTTTCTTTGCATCTCCCATATAAATAATTTATGGTCATATTTTGGAAAAATTAAAATGTTTATACCAAAATGTACTGAGGTTTCATCAGTATGCTGATGATACCCAGCTATATATCTCTTCCCCGAGCTCTCTCAGTGAAGCGGCTGATGTGATGGGCCGTTGCCTTGAAGCTGTGAGGGTCTGGATGGGGGTTAACAGACTCAGGCTCAATCCTGACAAGACCAAGTGGCTTTGGATATTGCCTCCCAAGGATCATGTTAACTGTCCAGTGTTGACTCTAGCAGGGGAAAATATACCCCCTTCGGAGCGAGTTCACAATTTGGGTGTCCTCCTTGATCCACAGCTGAAATTGGAACATCATTTGACGGCTGTGGCTGGGAAGACCTTTGCACAAGTTCATCTGTTGCACCAGTTGTGACCCTACCTGGACCGGGAGGCTCTCCTTACAATCACTCATGCCCTTGTGACCTCATGCCTGAACTACTGCAACGCGCTCTACATGGGGCTACCCTTGAAAAGTATTCGGAGACTGCAGTTGGTCCAGAATGCAGCTGCACGAGTGATAGTGGATGTTCCTCGGTACACCCACGTTACACCTATCCTCCGTGAGCTGCACTGGTTGCCTATTGGTCTCCGGGTCCAATTCAAGGTGTTGGTTATTACCTTTAAAGTTCTATATGGCTCAGGGCCAGGCTATTTGCGAGACCGCCTACTACCTCATAGTTCCCTTCGTCTGGTTAGATCCCACAGGCTGGGCCTCCTTCAGGTCCCGTCGGCCAAGCAGTGCCATTTGGGGCCGCGTGGGAGGGCTTTCTCTGATGGCGCCCACATCTTGGAACCAGCTCCCCCCAGAGATTAGGACCGTTCCCGCCCTGTTTGTTTTCTGCAAGCTGCTTAAGACCTGGCTTTTCCGGCAGGCCTGGGGTTTATAAAACCTGACCCCTGGATGAATGTTATTGTATTGTTTGTTTTGTTAATGTTATATTGTGTTTTTATTGTTAGCCGCCCGGAGTCCTGTGGGAGTGGGGCGGTCTATAAATTGTAATAAATAAATAAATAAATAAATAAAATACTATATTATTAGAAATAGATGTAAATCTATGAAGGAAGAGAATGATGTATTTCTGGAGTGGGGAGAAACAGACTGGATCTTGTAACATTATCCTGGGACACATATATTTGCTTTCATTTGTAAAGTGTTTTCAAATGTATCTGATGCAATATAACAACTACTGTTAACATGAATGATTGGCTTCTCTTTGGTAGCAAAAATGAAGTTGTTTAAGAATCTGTTTCTACATTGTATGAATACCTATACATCTTCCTTCTATGAACTGGATTTCAAATTAACATTGACTTAACATTGATTTACTCTTTTAAGCATGCATTTTGCTTTTTGAATAGCAGGGAATAATGGTGCCTAGGATGTTTCAGATTATGTAACTAATACAAATATATGTACTGGATATCAAGGATCTTCTCACTATCATTCATACTTCAATGAATTTATATAACTTTATAGAACCTTTTTTCTGGGCTGCTTTGGAAGACCATTCAGAGTTTCGCTTGTACAAAATACCTTGATGTATTTTCTATCAGCAGCTGTGCAAGGGAATATATAATATGTATCCTAGTTTAGTTCATTGACTATTAATTTCTAAGGACAAACAATTTAAAATGTTTATGGGCCCAATGTATCTTAGAATTATTTTCAGTTTTAGTCTGAGGAATACAAATTCTCCTGGTCTTATGCTAGTAGGAACAGACCAGAATTTTTTTATGACAAAAGAAAGAGAATAAAATATAAAGATGTAATTTCCCCCCTTTTTAACCTTGATCAAATAAATCTGTAAAGACGCTAAGAAAAAGACTCAGGCATGTCTTGAGCAGAGCTGCTTGTCACAGCTTGAGACAGCTTGAGAGTCTCTCTGTGTTTATTGGTTTTTATATACTTTTCACATACATAGACTTTTACCATTAAATGCTGATATTTTACATTCATAAGTTGAACCATTAGATGCTGACATAAAGTTTCTTCATTGGAAAATTCCTTCATATAAGCAACTATTTTCTAGTAACATATTACCTGATCAGAGACCAGGTAAAAACAAATACAGATAGATCAAAAGGAGAAAGAACTGACAAAGGCAGGAAGAGATAGGAAGTAACTTAAGCATATTATCTATTTAGGTAGGTGAGGTATTAAGTCAAAAGGGGATGACCTTTTGGCTGCTTCATTGGGACAAAGGGTATCAAGAGGTTATGAAGTTTGGGGGGGGGGAAGCATGGCAGTTTGCTGCACGTGCAGTTTTTCCCCACATAAATCAACTTAATATTTCTTCCCTTTATTTTTTTTAACAATTTTAGTCTTTAATCCTTTCAAATATTTTCCTACCTTTATTTCTTTTCTTTTTTCTTGTTTCTTCTTACCAAGTTTTTCAAAACTTTAACAGGTCTCCTTTATAAGTCTAATATAAGAAAATTATCCCAGTCATTCTCCAGGTTTGTTATTTGCATGTCCCTTTTAATTATTAAGAGAGCATTTGGATCATTTGTATATCCACTATTTCATATTTTTTCCTGATCATTCTTATCAGCAGTCCTTTTTAAATGTATGTTCAACTCTATTTCCATCTTATCTAGTTCTAGATTTAAATAAATGAATAGAAATGATAATTATCTAATGTTATAAATATCACAAACATCATAAAACATATGACAATTTTTTCCTTTTTTGATGGGTAAAATTTCCTTTAAAATATAAATTAAACTGTTCTTGAATCCATTCTTTAATATCAGAAACAATATTGCTGTCCCAATTTTTCAAAATAATTCTACTAGTGCAGGAGTCAGCAACCTTAAACACTCAAAGAGCCACTTGGACTCATTTCCCAGAGAAAAGAAAACACTGGGAGCTGCAAAACCTGTGCGCGCTTCCTGCTGAGACACAGCAAAGGCAGGAGCCCTGCCCAATAAGCTTGTCAGCTTGTCCGAGAACAGTGTGAGGCCACTCTCTTTTTTACACATACACACAGAGAGAGAGAGAGAGAGAGAGAAGGGAAGCGCAAGTGCCTCTCTTTGTCTCTCTCTCTCTGCAAATGGCGGAGGATGCTGGGAGCCTCAGGAGAAGGCTCAAAGAGCCACATGTGGCTCTGGAGCTGCGGGTTGCTGACCTGTGTACTAGTGATACCCCAGGCCTTTTGAAAATTCCTACCAAAATACTGAATGTATTGTTTTGGCAAAGAAATAGAATAATTAAATAAAATTACTAAAAATATATTCAAAATCTGCCACTGCCAAATAAGTAGTATATTAGATTGCTTAATAAAAATTGTGAAGAGTTCCAGAATTAAATAGAAAAGCAAAGGAAAAAATGGACAATAAAATGCATCTGAAATTAATCACTCTGTTGTAACTATTGTACAAGATTGGTGATGATAAATTTCTATCCATTTTATGAACAAAATGTGAACCCGTGTTTAATCACATTTCATAAGAAAATTAATCTGTGCCATAACAAGACTGACTTATATAGCAATTTAATAACTGCTGAATTATATAAAATTGCAGCCCCTGGCACCTGCATAAGGCTTTGTATGGAGCATACAGTATGCACTTAGAAGAAGATAGCATTTCATTTTGTTAGGGTTTTTTGCATATTATTGAAGTATAAATTCTACAGGATTGCAACAGCTGTATCAAAAATGTTACAGTCAAATATATTCTGAAACTTTCTGGAAGTTCAACTACCGTATATGCCGGCGTATTAGGCGACCCGGCGTATAAGACGACCCCCGTCTTTATAGCCAGGCCGCATTCCTAGAACGTTGTCTTATACCCGGAAACTACCAGTATTTCCGGCGTATAAGACGACTCAGCGTATAAGACGACCCCCGTCTTTGGCGCCGATTTCAGCGCTCGCGGAAGTCGTCTTATACGCCGGCATTTACGGTACTTTGTTCTTAATAATGTTGATAATCTTTGAAATAGTAATGTGTCAAAAAGAATGGCACTTCCAGATTGGTACTATTAGTTGTTTAACTAATAAACTAATATAAATTTTCAAATTAATTTTTCATAATTTTAATATTTACTAAATTAAAATACATGCTAATGTGTTTTATATAAACATATCTAAAGTCAATTAAAATTGATTAAATGGAGTAAAGAGAGATAACTTTATCCCAGCCAGATATATGATTAGAGAATCCCATAATTCCTGAGAAAGGGAATTATATAGGTGAAATATGAAATTCACCTAAATTTCAGTTTGTATTTGAAGAAACAATGTAGTTGAGACCCAATGGAGAAGAAGTTAGTTTATTTATTTATCAAATGTAGATATTGCCCATCTCACTCTCAGATAATTATGTTCTGTTAGATAATTCTATTTACAACATCCTCAGCAAGATTTCATCAGAATGGTGTAATATGCACTGAGGTGTCGTGATGTCAACCCGTATAAAAAGGATCATAGATTATGTAGATTGACAGCTAGAGAATAATATATGTTTGTGTAAGTCATAATTGTAGAGTGCTCAGATTACATGACTGAAGTTAAAAATATTTCAAAATTGATTTTCAATTATAGATTGCAAAGAGCAAAATAAAAATAGATATTTAATGTTTGTTAATTGTAATTTTTTTAGCTCATGCCATATTTTGTCCTGGATATTCTGGAAGATTATCCAGGCGTACCAGGACTTTTTGTGGCTGGAACCTTCAGTGCTTCATTAAGGTAAGCTTTAAGTTTGACATTATAAATCCTCACACTGATAAGTTTTAGTATGATAAGTTAGTGTTGTAGCTTTAGTTGTTAAATGAATGGTTTTAAGTCAAGTACAATCTGTACTATAAGACAAAATTTATTAAAAATGTGGTATCTTTTAAAAGTAAGGATAAATCCGGCAATCTCACCATTAGCAGTACCATCGCTGAGATTACCATCAAATGTGAAAAATGTTATAACAAAGAAAGTAAAGGTAGTCCTCGAGTTATGAGTGTAATGGAGTCTGCCCATTCCACTTGTAACTCAAAAACTCGTGGAAGTGAATCTCGTACCTCAAACCAGGTCATTCTCTTGCTTGTTATGACACATGTGGCTCGTTAAGTAAACATGAGGTATCTCAGGGTGGGGAAGGCCATGGAGGGCCTAGTGCTTCCCCCTTCCTGCTACGCTGGACTCACCTTGAAAAGATCTGTCTTCTCTCTGCTGCGGTTCCTGCTACTGTCCGGATCTGAGGCCGGGGGACGTTTCCAGTGCCTCCAGAGACTGGATGGGGGCATTGGAGGCCTTTTCCAGGCCACTGCCATCCTGATCTGAGGCTGGGGGACACTTCTGTGGACCTCCAGTGGCCTGATCCAGGCGCCAGAGGCCTCCATGCCACTGCTGCTTGGATCTGAGCCAGGGGACGCTTCCACAGCTCTCCAGCGTCCCAATCCGGGCACCGGAGGCCTTCTCCATGCCACTGCCACCCAGATCAGAGGCCGGGGGACGTCCCGATCCAGCCTCTGGCTTCGGTTCTGTTCTCTGTTGCAGAGAACAAAAGCCTAAAGTACCATAAGATCACGCAAGATCAGTAGGGTGAGATCTCGCCCCACTGATCTTGTGTGATCTTGCGTTACTTTAGGCCTCCATTCTCTGCGAACACACCAAAGGCCTGGAGCAGCTAAGAAAGCGAAGTATCTCGATCTTTGCAGGGTGAATATTGAAAGGCTGGTGCCTAGGGAGACCTGGGTGGGGTGGGAGGGAATAACAAGGGTGAATGTTGCAGAGCCTCTGCGATCGCTCGTAAGGCAAACGACTGCCATGGTGCTGCAATATTCGTAATTTCAGAACTTGCTCATAAGGGAGCGCTTATCGTGTAACTTCGAATGAGCATTAAGTGAATGCTCATAACTTGGGGATTACCTGTACATTCTATTTACTGAGGAACCAGGTATGAGCAACCTGATTTACAGCTCTAAGGTCTTGACTTAATCTCTAGGAAGGGGGATCAGAACCAGGTCTGATTCATATTTCTTGTTCTAATAATGATTGAGTAACAGGACGAATGCCTTTTACTGCAGTTCTGTTCCGGGCATACTGAGGCATCCTCACTAATGAAATATGAGACTTTAAATGCATCTAGACTGTATCAGCTGATTTAATCAACCAAAGTCTGACTTTATGTGATCCATACTTCTTTAGGAATACAATGTAAAAGCAGATCTGGCAAAATATTGTCTTTAGAATAGTAAACTTTAATAGACTCCATTTTATCAGCTGCCACTTCCGATATTGCTGTCACCCAATTATGATTTTCAATGTTTGGAATGTCCATGAAGGCACTTTTAGGAGTGCAATGCAAAGTGAGATAGCTTGGTTTTTATTAAAATTCCTTCTTCTGTTTCTTTGTTCTTGCTAGGTTTTTTTTACAGTCTTTCTATGGTGTTAATATTTTAGTTATCATGGTAATAGTTTTAGGTATTTATTTATAAAATGCCATTTTATAATTTACATGGGAGGTCTCCATCCAAAAGACTAACATCTAAATCAGTTCCTATCAAGAAAGAATGGGTATTAGGTAAAGGCCTCAAGTTACTGGCATATGATCATTTTCTTTGTGGGAAATTGGAGTGTCAGAAATTCCAGAAGCAAAATGAATAGCAGTAGTGAGAGGACTCCTTTGAAATTCCTTTGCCACTTGACATGATGTATCAGCTACAGTATCAATTAAAAACATTTTCATTTATCTCTAAAGCAGTGTGATTGGGTACCTGTAGGACCTTTTGCTGGGATAGCCCTATGCTTGCAACTGTGCCAGTGTAGGAAGAGGGATAAGAGACAGGAATAACAATCTGCTGAGGCAGAGATGGATAGAAGCCAACGAGGGGTGTACCTGCATCTAGGTCAGTGGTTCTCAACTTTTTTAATGCCGCGACCCCCAACCGGTCGTAAGTCGAGGACTACTCAACCGGTCGTAAGTCGAGGACTACTCAACTGGTGCAGCACCGTTTGCAGAATGGGACTTTTGGCGGGCTCAGCAGGGCAGAGACAGCCTGGACAATTCCTATTGGCTTTTGAAAGCCAATAGAATTAGACTCTATTCAAGAGAGTCTATTCTATTGGCTTTCAAAAGCCAATAGAATAAAAGGGAGTAGCACAGCTAAGGAAAAGGGGGAAAAAATGGCGGACTGCGTTGTTTGGCGACCCCCGTGAAATGGTCATTCGACTCCAAATGGGGTCCCAACCCACAGGTTGAGAACCACTGTTCTAGGTTATCCTGGCATTGGGACTTCCAATTTCACCCACTTCCAATTTCCAATTACAATTTCAACTTCTGATTTCACTCTCAGTAAAAATAAACTCCAGAATTCTTGGGCCAACATCTCCTGCCTTGATTCCTATTGCACTACTTTGAGCATTGCTTAGTTTGATCTCTCCTGGCTACCAACATTCTGGGATCCTTCTTTCCCTCCTTTGTATGCTCAGTCTGATACAATTGCATAAAACAATGGGTTCAGCTGACAACTCGTTCATTTTTTTTCCTATTGCCAGCCCTCTATAGTTACTTATGGCAAAAATCCACCCACAAAAGTATTTTCTAAAACATGTACTACTAATTTCTGGACTATTTGGACTGAGTATTTGGTAAAAGTTTGAATGAGACTCTCATATTAATCTCCTTGGCGCTTGTCCAATATTTAGAAGTAGGCAAAGATTTTAAACCAATCTGGTTTAATTGGGTATAAAGTTTTAACTGGTGCCAATAAATTAATTTTAGTTTGTACTAAAGCAGCTTTGGTGAGTGGGCTTTGTGCTGGCCAGACTATCCACAGTATTCTCAGGAATCTTCTCCAACACTAAAGTTCAAAAGCATCAATACTCTTCCTATCTTGCTTCTTCAAAGTCCAAAACCTTTGACTTTGTGTCACAGGAAATCTGATCTTTATATGCATAGACAAAGCATTTGAATATATTTTCCAAGGCCTTCATGGCTGCTCTATTAAGTATGCAGCATATTTCTTGACTTCTTATTTCCTTACTGTTGATGATCGATCCTAAAAGACAGAAGCTATCTACCACTTCAGTACTTTCATTGTCAATTTTAAGGCTAGTTGTTGTACCTATTCTCATTAATTTGGATTTCTTTAATTTAATCGCATTTTTCACTCTGTTCTTTGACTTTTAATGCTAGAATTTCTCTTAAAATATTCACTATAATTATCTCTATATTATTACATAGAAATGTATCATCTGAGGCCCAAGAGTCACATTTGGGTCCCAAATCATTGACCTCCAAGGTGTACCAATTTATACATTTTGGTATGATTCAAGAAAATAAAATTAGTAAAATACAAGAGTGGAAAATAATGATATATTAGAAATATAAATAAAGTTATATCAGATTTTATTTTTATTTTAAGTTTTGTAACTCTTCTGTCATTCAAAGGCCAGATATTATAATGTGCAACTGTTGTGTAAATGTTTAAATAAATATTGGGCTACCTGTAATATTACATGAGTAGATTTCCATTGAGCAGTGCCTTTTGTGAGGTGCAATACTATGGAAAAAATACTGCTTTCATGCTGAAAGTTGTTGCATTGGTAGATGCACATTGTTGCATGCAATCATTAACATGAAAGACACTTATTGACATCCTAGAACAGAGATTTATATTTGGTTGACTTTTAATAATGCTCCATTTTTTTGCGCATTTTTTCATGGATAAATCCTATGGAATTGCATTAGGAATACAATTTGGGGAAATAATTTCTTAAATTTTCCTCAGACTGAAAGGTAAGGTAAGCTACTGTTCTATGTCAATCATTCCATATGTATTTTTATTAGCTAGTTCTGAATGAAATGCCAACTTGGTAAATAAGCTGTCTGTAAGTTTTATTACTATATGTTCCATCAAACAGTCTGATATTAAACTAGTCAGAACTTTTAAATAAAACATTTATTCTAAATAAGTGAGACATCCTTTGAAATAGAAGCCTATTTCTACACTCAGAAGAAATTAATTAGCCCTCCAAAAGGAATATAACAAAAGAAAATTCATAGAAATAGCAATAAAATCTCTCTATGTATACATAAACAGATCAAGGAAACATAACAATAACAACAAAATTACCATCAACCCACTGGCTCTCTCACCATATCATAGACACAGAAACATAATTTTGCAGGTATGTGTTCAGTTTTTGCTAACCAAAATGCAAAATCATTATAAAATAGCAACTATTATTTTTTCCATAATGTTTAAACAATTTATTTTAAAGAGCTGAAAGTCATGGTGAAATAATAGAAAGGCATTTCTTAAAAGGCAGTTCTAATCATGAGACTTTAGTTCAGTCATATACTTTCCAGGATCATGTCACTTAGCAGAGATTGCTAACATAATCAACTGATCAACAATCCTGTGCAAATAACAAAAACTGAGAGTTGATTTGGATTGTAGTAGGATATAAATGAAATACATAATAGAACTGTATTTTGCTGCTTCTCAGATTAACTTTATTTTTCTTCTCATTATCTCATTTTTTAATATTTGTGAACTAATATTCAGTGCAGGTTAAACATTAACAATGCTTAATTTTATATTTTTTAGTTCAGTGTCTACCAGCATCAATGCATTAGCTACTGTAACTTTAGAAGATTTTATTAAGCCTTATTTCACAGTGTCTGAAGAAAAGTTATCATATATTGCCATGGGAATAAGTAAGTTTATCTTTGGTATTCTGCTTTGAAAATTTATATATAAATGCTATAGAATCTTATTAAGAATAGCTGCTATGATGATTTCTTAATGATTTGTCATGTTAAAAAAGTATAGGTAGTTCTGAAGACCTTATGCAAAGCCTTTGAAGGCTACAGATGGCCCTGAATTTCCAAATAGTGCACCACTGATTTATTTATTTTTAAGTATGTTATTATGCTAAATTACCATACCAAAACACAGTCTACATTGCTGAGTCAAGGCAAAGCACAACTTGAAAAGCTCTTTCCACCTTGCAAAGATTGCATTCACTGGCTTTCTAACTGTGTTTTGCATTGCTGGGTGTGCCAGTCAGCAGCTGCAGAAAAAGGCAAAGGTAAGTAGACCCAGCTGTAGTGGAGCGGGGAAAGGCTTCCCAAGCATGGTGGGTTGTGGCTTGGGCCTCCTGGCCTATGGCAGGTTTCCACTTGCTTGTGGGCCCTGTGCCTAGCTGAAGCCTCCTGGCCTGTGTCAGGTTTCCACACTCCAGTAGGCACCAGGCCTTCCAGAGTTGGGGAGGCACCCTGCATGATTGCTTAATGATCACAACCGGGAGAGCTGGGATTGCAATTGTTGAGCAAAGCAGTCATGTGGGCATCTCACTCAATGACCACTTCGCTCAAAAACCAAGAGTTCAGGCTGAATTGTAGCTGTAAGTTGAGGACTACCTGTATAAAGTGGAAGGCCTCTGGGAGTCATATTGTTCCCCCCCCAGTGATGGGATTCAGCCAGTTCGCACCAGTTTGGCAGAACCGGAAGCTAATTTTTTGTTGCCCAGGCCCAGAATGAACTTCCAGAAGCAGCATCCACACAGAGAACTGGTTGTTCACATATTGTTCCCCCCTCAGACCTAGAAATCCTAAATATACTCAAGCAGTCATGTATTTGCCTCTAAATAACAATTTCAAGGAATGGAAACTGGTGTCTCCTGCCAGACTACTCTTTTATTCATTTTTTTTTAATTGTATGGCAGCAGTTATTGCAAAATTTTAGAAGCATAATATTTTGTGCTTGATAATACTATTATCAAGCACACAATATTATTATAATGTAATGTAAAGTAATATATAATAATACAATACAATATATAATAATATTGGTGTCTTTTTGGTGCCTTGTTTATGACAACGCAAGGACTAAAAGAAGTTTCAATTAGCAGATTGTCTTTTGGAACTAAAGTTTGTGGATCCCTTCTAAAATTGAGACCAGGGAGATTTTTTTTCTTATTATGATAGGCAGCCTTTCTGATTCCAGGAGTTATCAGCATGAGGTTGATTTTTAAGGCTTTAGTTGTAGGCACAAATAAGTATGGGGACAATGATGAGCAAAGACTTCTTTAATATAATGCCAGGGACCAGGTTTGTTCATCCATTCATAGTTAACCTTTAACTGTAAGAATTTTAAAAAATAAACACATGTTTCATATGGACTACTGGACAGATCTTTATATGACTAAATCAATGTCTAACAATTAGTAGTTTGATTTTTTTCATTTTGCCAAGGGAACATGCATTTTTATTGATTATCTTGGAAGCATCTCCTAATAGTGAATCCTCTGCCTAATAGTGTAAAATCACTTTTATAAATCATATAAACTTCATATAACTTTATCCACATAGGTCTATTATTTGGTATAGCATGTCTATCCATGGCTGCGCTAGTATCTGTTATGGGTGCTTTATTACAGGTAAGACCTTAATGGTTTCTTATATTAATCTAAAATAAGTTTAATATATATTTCCCAAAAAATAATGTTAATAATAGTTTATAGTGCAGGCATTAGCCAGAGGCTCCATTTGCCCAATGCAGATCTTTGTGTGATTTTATTTCTTAGGTTCTTCCATGAATTACTAATGTTTCATGATTTCTACCAATGAATGATATAGAGGTGGTCCTCAATTTAAGACCGCAATTGAGCCCAACATTTATGTTGCTAAGTGAAAAAATTGTTAAGTGAATTTTGCCCCATTTTACAACTTTTCTTGCCACATTTGTTAAGTGAATCACTGCAGTTGTTAAATTAGTAATACAGCTGTTAAATGAATCTGGTTTCCACATTGATTTTGCTTGTCAGAAGGTCACAAAATGGGATCATGTGACTGCAGGACATTGCATAAATGTGAGTCTATTTCCAAACATTCAAATGTAAATCACGTGATGATGGGGATGCTGCAATAGTTGTAAGTGTGAAAAATGGTTGTAAGTCACTTATTTTCAGTGCTGTTGCAACTTCATATGGTCACTAAATTAACTGTTGCATATCAAGGACTACCTGTATTAATGGAGAGCCTTTGATGAAGATATTCATCAAAAAAAAAATTAAAAGCCTGTCTCTCTTATCAACATGCTTTTTGATACTCCCGTAAAATTCTGAAAAGTTCCCCCATGATTTGTTCTCCTGATTTCAGTAGTTCTGTCTTAGCCATTTTAGTCTGGATCCATCCCAATGGCTTCACTTTATTGGGTATAGCTTCCTTCAGGATTCCCATTGTAAGTTGAAGAAATCAATGCTTAGTTTACAAAAAGTTTGTAATTTTCTTTTGCTTCTTTCAGGCTGCATTCAGTGTTTTTGAATTAATTGGAGGACCTTTGTTAGGAATATATTCTTTGGGCATCCTATTTCCTTTTGCAAATTCTAAAGTAAGTGTTAATAACATATCCTATTGTCATTAAATAAAAGAGTATGTCAAATTATTTTCTAAAAGTTTTGTATTTGAATGTGTCTATTATGTCTTTACTTCTAATAGCTTCATGGGGGTACAGAGTAGTTCTCGACTTATGACTACAATTGAGTTATAAGATTGCATTCATAAGTCACCATGGACCTGGACTATGGTCATTAAATGAAATTGCAGTTGTTAACTGAATCATGTGGTTGTTAAGCAAATTACATGGTCATAAGTCTGAATTCAACTTATCCAATTGGTGTTTTTGCTGGAAAACAACAACAAAAGTTTCAAAACATGATTATGGGATGTTTCAATTGGTCATAAATGTAGACCAGTTGCCAAATCCCCAAAATGCAACACATGACCATGGGAATGGTACAACAGTTGTAACTTTGAGAACAGGTTGTAAGTAACTTTTTATGATCTCATTGTACCTCAAATTTAAGCAACTGGTTATAAATCAAGGAGTATCTGTATGTACATTTTTTAAAAAAAAAATGAAGCCAGGAATGCAAAAATCAGGATAATCTACTCCCACTACCCTCTTCTTCCTGCATGCAACATTTGTTTTTTTGCTTCTTACTCTTTTTTGAAGCAGATCAGAACCACCAAAATATTTTTACTTTAAACCATTATAGAAGCCCAGTGTCTATCAGAGAGCAAAAAACCAGAGTGTAGGATCAAATACTTCAAATGTACAGATTATAGAACATTGCTGTATGTCCAAACAACCTAAGAATCTAAAAGAATATTCTGCTTAATTTAAAATACTTTGTTTTTGCTAGATGTAAAAATTTCTATAAGCAAGGCACAGTTAGTGAAAATCAGGTTGAAGATTTTCCTCCTTTTTGCTGGACCAGACTCTAGATTGCCAAGAGTGAATAATTAGAAGCCTCATGGCACAAATTTTTGAAGTAGTAGACCAATCCAAATATGGGATACTTACATATAACATTTCAAACAATGTGTATTACTTATTTCATATTTCCATGGCTTAGAGGTCTTGTAATAAAGCTTCCTGGGAAAAAATCAATTTTGCTTGTAGAATGACAAGTTTAAACATACTATTTTTTTAAACTAAAATGTTTTATTCAATATTAATATCACATCACCTTTACCATAAGGATACTTGAATACAACAAAAGGAAGTCCCACATTCTGGTGAAGAATTCTCCAGAAATAGATTGGATAAAGGCCAATATAATAGCAATACTGGTTAAATAAACATATTTATTTATTGGATCAAGCCTACTCATTCTGCAGTTGAAAGCATGCTTCTAGTACAAAGGTCCATGTATTCCTAGGTGTATACATAGATTTTGAGTCTTTACAGGTTTCTTTCTTGAATGTCAATAGACATGAGAGTCTACTTCCTCCATTGTAACAAAAGGGAACCCTGTAATTGCAGAAAATAAGTGGACTGAGAGCTAAAGCCATGCCTGAATAGGTAATATTAGCTTCCATTTTAAAAATTAGAGGTATCTCTTTTCTTAATATTACATACACTTGAGTTGTATATAATTTTCTGCTTCTCAGGGTGCATTCTCAGGTTTTATTTGTGGATTTTGTGTAATAATGTGGATTAGAATTGGTGCTCAGAAATACCCACCGGCATCTCACCGGACAGTACCATTACCTCTTTCAATTGCAGGCTGTCAAAAATCCAATGACAGCGCATTTGTACCTATAATTGTTACTAGCCCTTCGCCAGCTCCTTCAAGGTAATCCCAAGAAATCAATCTAGGTTAAGTATCTTTGAATGTTTCGCACTTATATATAGCAATCATTTTGGTACTATATATACTATATACATATATGTATGTGTAAGTACATGTGTTCATTTGTTAGATTTAAATTCTGCCTTTTATTCTCTTATTTTTCCCTAAACGACCTAAACACTGGTCCAAAATCCCAAGTGAGTTTCTGTGGCTAGAGTCCTGAGTGTTACAGCATACTTGAGCCAGTGTTGACAGATTGAAGTGCCTGCCTAGAAGAAAGTCGTTGGATGTATGCCAAGGTCATGATTTTTTTTTTTTTTTTAGAAAAGCAGGTGACTCAGCACAACAACCTCTGTAGGCAGAAAAGAGAAAATGCTAGAAGATACCTATCATGCCATATGTATGTCTGGGTATAGTTAACAAAAGAGCAGAGAAATAAGGGGTGGTATTTCAAATGCTGCAGCTCATGCTGCTGAAGAGGATGTCACCTGGTTAATATGGAGTGGAGCATGCGAAATCCACAGATTCTGGTCCTCAGGTGGGGAGAAAATCAGGAGGAAAATCCTGGAATGGTTTGTGAAAATGTGGAAAGACATAGATGACTGATTTTATTCTGACCATGGGGAATCAGATGCTGGACAATTGTACTTTGTGAGTTAAAGGCTTTCTTAGACAGCAAGACAGCCAGAGAAAAACTCACAGATGTTCCAGTATCCATAATTGAGATGAGGGGTAGAATAAGCCAAAAAAAGCATAAGTGGAAAGTAAGGAAAGAGAGTTTGGGGATGGGAATTAAACAGGCCAAGAGTTTATTTCTTATACTATTCTGTACATACTGGTTTTGTAAGTAATACTTGTATGAGCGGTAATATTAGATCATACTACTTCATTAGCATCTTAATGTCTGGAATAAAATTCCTCATTTGTTTAAGTACTGGCTGTGTGTTTGTATCAGTTGCTATCCTGACTGACAATCAGTAAAGGTAAGCAAAGGAAACCTCTTAATGCATGGCAGGGTAATTTCTGTATCAGAGCTAATTTTTATTTGTACCAGTCATGTACTTAATTACTGAACTGGGAGGTATACATAACATATAATAGTGTTAATACTGTTCATCTCTTTTCAAATGTCCCCATTCTGGAAATTTTGATACTTATGCCTAATTTGCCAAGAAACAATATCTGTATCTACTTGGGTCTTGTTACTTTCTTTGGCCCTTGGAAAGCTTTTGCTTACCTTAATTGGAAGAATACAGAAAAGCTCTTGATATAAGTAGAGTGTCTCTACAATTTCCCTCTGCTATAAATTAGCAGTGAGTCTGCTTATATTGTGCTTGAGACTGAAAGTTATGTATCAGGAATTAGGATTAACAACTGGCTATATACAATCAGTTTAGACTCAACACTAGAAATTCTAGCAAAAGAAGATGGTAAAATCAGAAATTGGAAACGTAAAGAAACAAATTGAGGATAAATTTATTGTAGTCCAAACACCAGGGTAAAAAGCACAGTAACCATTGAACGAGCAGTCCAAATTTTTAAGAAGGGAATATCAAAATACCACAATAGGACTCAAGTTTATGATATTTTTTAGCATGGACTGCACATTGACCCAAATAATTTATATTTGGATTTTTCAGCCACTTCTCCATTTCTAACGATTTTAGATTATTTAGAGTTCCTCAGAAATTAACTTATATTTCATAATATATTGAATGTGGAGGCCATTGTGTGTCTTTTCAACATGCAGCTTCCTGCATTTGCAAGATCCCTGAAGGGGCCCAGAATCTTCTTGCAGATAATCTTTGGCTGGACAAAATGGGAAATGACTTTATTACCAAGTGTTCCTTGATAAGCCAGTGATATTTCATGAACCTGCCCCTGCAGAGAATTTATCAAACGTGCATCTCTCATATGTAGATATATGGACTTATTCTGCTAAAAACAGTATGTTCATATCGGCCTCCTAGAAAATCTAGAATTCTATCAGCTTCTTATATGACTGCAACTGTTAATATTTACCCAAAATTCTAATCTGGATCTTTGGACTGAACAGAGGCTATTTTTGGCAAAGAGCTCCCTTATTAATGATATAATATGTCATAATGCTTATATTTATTTATAACATTTATAAATCAATTTATAAAGCTTCCAATCAAGAAGATAATTAACATCTCTCAACCAGAGGAGGGAAAAGCTTTTTTTTCTTTTTTCTTTGTAAACCAGTGATTCTTCAAGCATTGGGAATTCATCCAACTCTCTGGGTTCTGTAGTGTTTCTCTTGCCTTCAGGTGACTGTTAGATTGGTCATACTGTACAATATAAACAGAGAGGAGTGATTTTCTCTAAATTTATACTATTAAAAAAGGGGGTTATATAAAAAATGTATTGGTTGCATAGTTCCGAGTAGGGCAACCACAATGTATTTATTAAACATAAAATAGTTTAAATTTGTAGTTTGTTTTAAATAGTCTCTAATTAACGGAATAGGAAATACTAAACTTTTTTTCTTTCAGATCATATCTTCAAGAGTACTGGTATTCAGTGTCATATCTATATTTCAACACATTAGGTGCTTTGATTACATTTATTATGGGAACAATTATAAGTTTAATAACAGGTAATTTTAACTAATTTTTATTTATGGAAATTTACATCCAGTTTATTAAAAATTATCTTGCAATCTTTGCTGATTTATTTATTTATGAGACTTATATACCGCTTTAAGTACAAGCACTCTCTAAGCGGTGTACACCAGTAAGCAATGTATATACATATTTACATTGCCCCCAACAATCTGGATCCTCATTTTACCTACCCCGGAAGGAGGGAAGGCTGAGTCAACCTTGAGCCGGTGAGATTTGAACCACTGACCTGCTGAACACAGTCAGCTAAAGTGGCCTGCAGTACTGCACCCTAACTGCTGCGCCACCTCAGCTCTATTGTATCAGTGATATTGTACCACACAAATAATATATAAGAATGTAATACAAAAAGCTATTTATCAGTGTTTTTCTTGACCAAGATTTACATTACTAATTACTGATCTACTTGATTTATAAATCAACTTTAAATAGAAACATGTACTTAAGAAGGCTTTGCAAAAAATACTCACTTTTTAAGCAGATGTTTATCAGTCATCATTGTCATTCATTCTTGGGTCTTTGAAAAACCCTCTTCTTGCTCCCATCTATCTATTAATGTCACTGAACACTGGATTGTATTCATTCAGAACTTTGTAAAAAAATTCCTCAAAACTCATTCCTGGTTCTTTTATTATCACCATTCAATCAGAGCATAATATGCAGCTATCATCAATCTAGAAAGCCCTGTTTTCATATGCCTCCAAATTACAAATTCCTATTTTCTGCCATTCATTTAGGCCTTTCATTTGTAATTAACCATATACCTTCAATTCTATGCATATCTTCATCAACCACTTTCTTATATATACAGAGTCATTTCTTGTGAAATGGATGGCCATAAAATTTTGATAAATAAATATATCAGCCTCTGTTGCTGATAATGTAGAAAGAATAGGTAATAAAGATTAAAGATCAGAAGGAATTGCTGCTACCAAGGCAAAGACTGAGCTTGAGTCCATGTGAAGAAATAACTTGCCCTTCCTAATTCACACAAAAATAAAATGAGAGAGGGGGAAAGCACATTCAAGACTTGCAAGATTGTGTTACTATAGCTGTTACAAAAAAAGTAGCACCAATAATTATTTTTGGGGAAAAGATTTTTTCTTGTTAAGTGCAGTAAATACAGTATATTAAACCTATGGATACTCAATAATGTGTTGGGCAATTGGCAAATGGATCCAGATGTAAAGTGCCTCTTTATTTTATATGGCATTACTTCCAAAACCATTTCCAAGTTCCATTTTATGTTTGGAATGTTTAATACAAAGATGATCATATCAGTACTTAAACTACAGAATTTTGGTTTATATTATTAAACTTTCTTTTAGGAGGTTTAAAAAAGGAGGTAGATCACAGACTTCTGTTTACAAGAAAAGATTTTATGGTGAACATTCAGTACTGGAAAAACAAGTTTGTAAGTATGATTTAAGAGTGCTATTGATGTACCTATTTCCGGTTAGATAATATGCAAATAGAATATTTATAGCTTTAATTTTCAAAGTTTCATTTTAGATATCTGGTACAAATTTGAGTTTACTGTGCAGTTCACTATCCTTGTTTCAAGTATTAATTATCAGTGACTGGATAATGTTTACTAAATATGTAGGATGTAGTTCATCTAAAGTATTTCACTCTTGTGAACTTCAGGATCAGATTACAAGGAAATCAAAATAACCTTTTTACAATTAGATCACAATGAATTAGAGCAGGGGTGTCAATCTTGCGACATCATATGACATGTTGTGACATATCAGAACTTTTTGTCCATTGCCAGCAATGGGGTGGGCGCGGTTTTGGTATGACGCATCTGGCCCACGGGCCAGCAGTTTGACACGCCTGAATTAGAGCAAGAGGATTTTGAGTATTCCCCAATCTCACTTGTTTCAGTGGAATTTAAAAATATATATTAATAGATCTGTGCAGATTTGATTTAAGTAAGATTCTTTGAAGAACAAAGGAAAGAAAATGTAGCAATTAAACAGCAACTCTTTGGCGTAGATGCCACAAGTCCCCCCCCCCCCCGGATCACAGGGTGCCCGCAGAGTTCAGCCTTTGCTCAAGAAAAGCATAGTACTTGCTTTAAAATGTTTCAGAAAAGTACTACATTTCTGCTTTTACATACCTTGAGGCATATGGAATCAAATCTGAAATGCTACATATTCCCTTTTTAATGCTATCCTAATACTTTAAAGCAGGGGTGTCAAACTGCCGGCCCGTGGGCCAGACGCGTCACGAGGAAACCACAGCCAACCCATTGCCGGCAATGGGGAAAAAGCTCTGATACGTTGCGTGATGTCATGTGACGTCGTGAGTTTGACATGTCTGCTTTAAAGGTTAAAACTTTATTGAACTTCTGTAAGTCCTTGAAGAATGGACTTTTCCTCTGAGTATTGAGCTTCATTGTAATGATGGAAGTTGAACAAATGGGTTGCTCTCAGTTACTTTATATCTGTTTCCTGCTATTTTTTTCCCTGTCAGTTTTGCTTTTGGTTTTAGTACTGTATTAGCTACTCAGTCGTAGTTTGTAAGATGGGTGGCCACATAAATCAAATTGGTAAATAAATAAGAATGTGGCCTTGGTACAACGTCTATTTAGTAATGGTTATGTTGTTTTTAATTTGTATTACATTTGCAGTCAGCAAAACAGGTTGCTCCTGAAGAAGGCTGATTCAGAGGACAAAACAGAAAAGAAGAGCATTTTTATAAAATAACTTCTGTAAATGAAACCCATGGAATATAGTAAAGTTGAGCATTTAGCAATCTTTGGTTTTTACTCAATGATATTTGAATTGGAAAATCTTTATTTTTCAATAATTATTGAAATTATTTTGGTTGTGTTATTACCTGATTATCAAAGCTTAAGCATGTTTTTATGGTAATTTTATAGAACTGCAAAACATTATAAAAGTTTAATATATAACACTCCATTATTTATTGAAGAACCTTAAATTTGTTTTATTTGCTTTTATGTAATGCTATTAATGCTTTACAAATAATAAATTCTAAATTTTGAACCTAAATGTTTAGACTAAACATTGTTAAGTAACAAAATATTCACACAATATAAATCACAAAAAGAATTCGTCCTTGTCTATATGGGTATTTTGTATTGTTTTTTTTGTTTTTCATCTCTTTTCCAAAAAGCTTTGTAATTTACAATGCATAAAAGGTGTCCCACTGACTATTATATAGCAGAATTTTATGATGGCGGTTTTATTTTTAATGAAAGGCTATTAAGGGATGTTGCAATTTCAACTAGTATGTTGAAATTACAATCTTTACCATTCTGCCCACATGCACAAAATAATTTTTTAGATTAATGCCTTCTTGGTTGAAAATTGATCAGTTATGCATGTCCTTCAACCATCCATATTAATAATAAGCAAAAATTCAGTGTAAATCTGATACTTGGCATATCTAGATTAAGGTTTTTAAAATTGTTCCTGGAACACTGTTTTCCACAAGAACATGAGCCTATTTAGTGAGAAATTAAGAACAAATAAAGTTCATCAGGAGTGGCCATAACAATTTTCCCAAGGTACAGCAAAAAATATGGGACATCAATTGAAGCTCTTCCTCCTGATTAAAGATTTTGGGATTTGTTTATATATTTAACTAACAGGTTCCTCAGCCTGGAAAAAAGTTTGAAAACATTCTCTCCCTGGTCCATCTAATTCTGATTTTGCAATATCTGCAGTTTCCAATGCCCATTTCTCTTGAAATACCAAGAATGAAAACTGAGTAACATTTTCATGTTTTTCATTTCTAACAAGTTAATACTTACTTAGGACCCCTTTCCACTTTTTGAGAAAGCCCTCAATATTTTGGAGTATTAATAATAACAAAGAGGCACTTTGTAACGTTCCACTATTGTATTAAAAACAATTAGACCAGTGGAAAACAGAAGTAATAAAGATGTAGTTGGAGGGCAAATGGGCTTTTTGAAGGACTGGTTACATTGGATTAGTGTCTTCGGTGGGTAGGCATCAGAGATCCCACTCACCCTTCTCCATTAGATTTGGATAGTTTGTCTCTGTTTCAGAGACCTTGTATCCTGTACCTGAGCCATTCCCCCCCCCCCTCTTTCTGAGCAGCTTTTTTCTGCAGTGCACTTCCCTAATAAGTGCTAATGGCAAGTTAACTAACTTTTAATTAGTTGTTTCCTACAGCTGGCACTGCTGCCTAAAATTAGCCTTGACCTTAATAAGTTAATAGCAGATGGGTTTTGCCTCCTGAGTGTATACTAGGCAAACAACCAGCCTTATCACTTTCTTTTCATGTGAATTCCATATTACACACCTTACTTGTTGTAATTTGTTCCTTTCCAATAAAGTAAATACAAATGATTTCCTTCTTGTTAATTGCGTCAGCAACGGGGTGAGCATTCCAAAGGGCAGGGGAATGGGGAAAATCTGTAAGATCTGCCTGGCAATCCCAACTTCCTTATGATCCTACTTCTGGAGGCTGTCCTTGCCACTTGGACTCAGCAAGGCAGATTGAGGAAGGATCTCCTGGTGCTGTGGATGTGTTTCAGTACAATTTCTGAATAAACTTTATTAAAGGTCTTTTGCTAGCCTGGAATCTCCCTTGATATTCTCATTCCTTGGCAGCCATCCTGCAAATTCCAAATAAAGTATTGATGCACAAACTACCAACAACTTATTTTTAAGCAGGGAAAAGCCATAGAATGATATAGGAAATGTCACTGGAGCCCTTCAAAGTAGCAACTCATAATTAACTATCTTGCTTTGAGATGGACTAATCACCTGGGAGAAAGCTTCTTCAGGCTGTTTTTACTGCTTGGAACTAGGAAGGGGTGAATCCCACTAGAGATGTTTTCAACTAAATAAAGCCTAAAGTCAGACTGAAGACTGGATATCATCCTGCATAGCAAAATCATAAGACTATATAAGCAATAAAATATAATTTAGAAAAGGAATACTAAACAACACATACCATTTCTATAAATAGAACATAAACAAGGAAATTAATAGGAGAAAAATAAAGTACCATAAATCTGTCAATAACTTGCAATTAAGTTTTTTTTTAAAAATCACCAAAAGAGAAACAACATTAACAATAACAGCCTGGCAGATTCAGATTGGAAAGACATGTTGGAAAGACCATTAGATTATAGGAGAACCCTGTGGTTTTGTGCTCACTTGGGGAATTTTTTAAGGTGCCAGAGTATACCTGATAATTATTCTAATTTTGGGAGCAAACAATTTCTTAATACAATGGGGATTTAATTGAATAATATGTTTTAAAAGATAAAATCATAACAAACTTTCATAAAATGTTTTTTATTCTTTTAAAAATAAACACAAAAGCAGGAATTTAATTCATAATATGTTTTAAAGTTTATTATAACTGTAGGAATGCTAAATATAGCTTTATGATAATGATATTCTATAAGTGTGTAAAATTGATCTTGTTTTTATTTTTTGCTATTTACAAATAAACAATATATACATATTCATGAATTATATATAGCATTTTTTTAAAAAAATTGCATATGCAAACAGTATGTCTAATGTACATAACAGTAAAAATGCTACTATAATATGCTTTGCTAATATATATTACATTAATCAGTGATAATGTTATATATTTATTTCTATTTCCGAACTAAAAAATGTCAGATGAAACATAACACAGAAAAGAGCAATCAGGCTGAAAAATGATCCAGGGTGTATACATTAGGTTTATTTGTTGGTTTGTGTCTTAAGACTTTTTTTTTAAGATTCGAAAGTAATCATATGCAGGCTGCCTCATTATTTCAAATAATAAACTCCTTGAAATGTTTTGCCTCATTTGTTCTTTTAAAATTGTCCATGAATTGATGTTGCATCATTTCCACTTTCCTGAAGACAGGGTTCTTAAGGAAATATAAAAAGGAAAAGAATATAGGTCTACCACTTGCAAAAATGAACAACACAATATCTAGACATTATTTTAAATTGTCAGAATATTGCATTGTGTCCCTAATCTAAATGAACTGAATCTTGAGCATGTATAACTTATCCCCAGGCTTGAGCAACATCAATATGAAAAAAGGAGGTGCTCTTCCTTTTTCTGCAGGCTTCCCTTCACAGAATCCCTTTGCGAGTCAGAAGGATTTAAACAATAAAAAAATCTTCCCCAACTCTATACAGCATAAACAAAAATCAATTGTGCTCTCAGTAAAACCTTTATTCGTTAATAGTTTTTATTTCCACCTTTCTTTTCCAGTTAAATTTTTAGGATGCATATGCCTTTTCTATATTAAATATATATTACAATAATTAATCCTGAATCCTTAAACTTGTACTGTGGTTGTAATATGGTTACTAGAATGCTAAAAAAATAAAAGATTCAATTTAATTTAAAACTGGATAGCTAATGCAGTATATTTCTTTAGTTTTTTTTTTTAACTTTTTTTTTTTTTTTTTTTGCAGCCTAGGGGACATAGTCAGATTGCAAGTAAGTATCAGATGCTACTGAGCATGGCATGCCAGTCCCCTCTTCCTTTCTATCTTTGGAAGAGGAGGTCCATGCATACACAACAAACAGGATGGGTTGGTCATATTTCCAGATCCAAAATGTATTGACAGAAAGATGACATATATGTCAAAGAAAAAGAAGAGAGATGCTAATATCTATAAAGTATACTGGAGCCACATGAAGGATGTTGATGAAAATCCATCCTTGAAATATTAAAGAATCCTCTTCTTCTGGAAAGAAGCACAACTATTGTTTCAAAGGTTTTAAATGGCTAACCATGTGTTTGTGTGTGCCTGTATATCCAGCAGAAGTGTGGTCTGGGCATGCTCACGTGGACAGGCAGCCAATAAAAAGCTTTTAAAGCACAGATAGTCCTTGTTTAGCAATCACAATTGGCACCAGCCAATCGGTCATTAAATGAAGCAGTTAAGTGAAATAGCAACTTTGCTTATCTTATTTCAGCATTCCTTTGCTTTATAGACCTGCAAATGTCATAAATGCAAGGATTGGTGGTAAAGTTATTTTTTCCATTGTAATTATGGATAGTTGCTAAATGAGGCATTTTCTTTTTTTTAAAAAAAGGATTACTTTAGTGTGCCTGTCCTTTTGCAGAATGCAGCCACTTTAATGCTTCAAGGAACAGTACTTCAACTGTCTTCTACAGATGCTTTGCACAGCTCTGAAAAAATATTGCTAAATCCTATCCATAGCAGGATATAACTATTGCTATACTGTATCCTTTAATAAAAATACACTAACCATGGAAAATGTGCGGGTTACTGATTTGTGTTCAGTACCCCTATTCAATGTCCTCAAAATACTTATCTGAACTTTTGATTTATTTGAAAAATTACATACTCTCTACTGGGGAAATTACATATATGTTTAGAAATGCTCACTCCATTAGTTATGGCCATTCCTTGTGGTAAGATTTTCCATTTTTCTTCCTCTCCTTTTGTTCCTTCTGAAGGCGCTCAAGTTCAGCTTCATACATCATTTCCTGAATCAGATATTTTTCTCTTCTCATACGATCCCTTAGATCTTTGGGAAGATCTGGGATTAAATAGGAAATCAAGTGTTTTATGCAAAACACAAGGTGCTGTAAAGAAAATTTTAAAAGCAAGTGAATTTACTTCCATACAAACCTGAACACTTATACAGTAATCTTTATTATTAATAAACATAATGGGAAAATACAATTATGTTTCCATACACAGTTTATGATATTTTTGTATTTTTTTTTAAGAATCACTTCATTTCTATTAACATCCTCACATCTCAAAGAAACCAAGAACAACTTAAATGGCAATATTAATTGCTAACTGTACTTACTAGTGTCAATTTATTTAGTTCACTACAATAAAGAAATAGATAGGAGGAGGAAACAATCTAGATACATTTAAGAATTTAAAAAATATTTTAGTACTATTTAAATTAAATTTTAATATATTTAAATTTAGTGAATTATCCATGCATCCATTATATCATATAATAATATAACACTATACTGGCCCCCAACCTTTTGGACATTAGGTACCAGTTCCATGGAGAGAGGTTTCTTCATGGACCAGAGGGGACATGGTTTCATGTGCTGCCTGCATCCCGTGGATGGGGCTTTGTTTGTGCGGCCCAGTTTCTGGCATGCTGTGACCTGGTGCTGGTCCACAGACTGAAGGTTGGAGATCCCTGCTCTATAGAGTAATGCAGGAGGTTTAGCTGAATTTCTTTTAGTTACTTTGAAACTTTTGGGCAGTGAAATTGGTCTAAATATTTCAACTATGTTGTTATAAAAATACTAACCTAAAATATCACAGAAGTAAACATAATGGTTCTGTGATCCATCCTACATACAAACAATGGCTATTTTGAATTAATAGATTCACACAAGAAGATCTTCTACCATGAATTTATATGAATAGTGTTCTGAAAACACTATTTTGGCAACCTTTCAACAGATATTCAAAGAGAAAGAAATTGAGCACAAGCCACTATTAGGAGACCAGAATTTATTATACAGGGTCAGCCTACCCAGTGTTAATAGTATCAGCATTTTATACCTCGACACTGAACCATTACAATGGCAGTTCAATCATTTTTAAGTTTTACATTTGGAAGGCTACAAAACTGAAATTTACCTCAAAAACTATAATAAATGCCAACCGTGCAGCTAAGACATGCCAGAATTGTAGTGTGTAACCATAGGGCACTGAAGAATGAGGGGGATCACGATAGTCTCTGTATCTGAAAGGAGAAGCAAAAAAAGGATAAATTTTATCTATTAAAATGCAAGATATCTACTGAATGTATATCAACCCTACTATGACATTAAGTTTGAAGCCTTTGTTTACCATTGATCCCATTAATACCTGAAATTAAAGGCTGTGAAAGAATTATGGAAATTCCCAATATACTGAGCTTCTAGACTACCTTAACAACAAGATGATTTAAACCATTTATATTGCATAATGTTGTTTGCCATTAAAAAGAACAGCATGGCAGTTGTAGATAACTGTATAGGTAATAATTTCAAGAAGAATAGCATGCCAATTCTATCTGTTATTGTCACCCTATTCCACTTAGTACGTATCTTCGTGAGGGACACGTGAAATGATGAGTAAGAAAGTAAGTAAGACACCTGCCAAACTAGTGAGAACAGTCAGATCAATCATAGTAATCAATGGTTTATGTCATCATATGTCACAGATTACCACCACATTTATCTACATAAATGGCTGGTTTTTACCCGACTATTTGTGCGTCTTACCTATTTCTTTTGTTTCTACCCCTTCTATCTATATCTCACTCTTCTTGTCTTTTGGTATTAAAATTCAAGCACACATCTAATACTTTTAAATTTTCATAACAAATTTAATGTCTATTGATATCCCTCAGGTTATAATGACAATTGGAAGTGGGAACCCCATTACTAAGCAATGTGGTTGTAAAGTGTAATATCACATGATCATGCCATTTAGTGATGGCAATTCTGACAGTCCCAGCTGTCATTATTAAATGAAGAACCCATGGATTGCTAACTAGGGGATTTCTCTGATTGAGTGTAATAGTATGGTAGAATGTCTTTGGGAGAATGGGCGAAATGATCCTACCTAGAGAACAGTCAGATAAGAGACAGCATAGCCCACAGCTGCATAGTGGGAAGAGAAAGAGGCCCAGGAAGGACCTTCCTTAAGATGATGGAGGGAGAATTGTACTTTCACACTTGTAGGATTCTGTTAATATAGCTTTACAATAAAACATAAGCTAGAAATTTATGTTTCTTGTCTGATCTTCTTAGTAAGGTGGACATTCTGACTTCCTGCTGACTTCTCCATTATCTTTGCTTGTGGGAAGCCAGCAGGGAAGGTTGGAAATTGTACTTATGTGATCAGCAGGAAACTGCAACAGCCGGAATTCTGAGGACCTGTCAGAATTTTGAATAGTCACTGAATGGTCATAATCTGAGGACAATTCACATCTTAAATGCATATACTAATGGTCTACATAGCTACTAATGCCTCTCGTGTCTATGGGAGGATGTCAGAACAGGCTAGATGGTGGTTATAGCATGATAAAGACCCATATGCATGACACTGAATCATATACAAAGTGGTAGGGAAGCAGTAGGTGTGAATTTAAATGGACTCCAGAAGATGGTAGAGGACAGGAAGACCTGGAGGAATGTTGTCCATGGGGTCGCGATGGGTCGGACACGACTTCGCAATTAACAACAACAACAAGGGCTTCAATCATACCATGATCACCATCTTGCCTGTTTGTCCCTCCCTGTGGATGTCAGTGGATAATGTTCTAGCTTTTTTTATAATAAAATAGTATCCATTCAGCATTTTAGTAATTTGATTCATATGTACTGCATTGGATAAATTAGTATTTTACCACCCCATGTTACTGATAGAAGTTGTGACACAGACCTAAGAATAACTCGGGATTTGATTTCACATGGCATAAAAAGCTTTTTTTTAAGACAAGCATTTGAAGTTTTCTATTTCTGAAAATGGCTTTTTGTAGCTACTATTGCTGTAGGTCATTGTTAATTTTTTTTGAAAATATACACTGTTTTAAATAAAAATAATAGTGGTGAAGCAGTAAAAATGTCTGATAAACATAATAGCATTTTCACACATATTTCTTTACCTGCAATATTTTAAAGATACACCAGAAAGCTCACTTCCATTTGATAATAGTTCTGAACGATGTTCAAAATCGGACACCAGAAATAGTGATAAACTTGCATTAACATAGCCAACCATACATCTAGAAAGGAAGAATGATTTTACTCAGAACACAGCCTTCTTACACCAGATTCTATAATAAATACTCACAAAAACTCAGGTCCATATTACTCAGATAATTTGCTAAACAATGAACATCCTAGGAAGAGCTGTTGGTCCTAATTCTGGATTCATGAAAATAATACAGAAACTATATGCTAACCGTCTCATTATTTACATTTGGGGAAATAAGAGTAAACATCTCTTCTAAAGCAATAGTCAGGTTATTTGCATGTTGAGATAAATATACACTGAGATTTTTATTATCCAAAAAAAATCCACAAAATTGTTCAGTTTTCTAAGGGCTTAGGGGTTTTTTTTGTTTCATAACTTCAAGAAGAAAATACTGATTCTCAATTTAAATATTTTTTCTGCAATCACGTGTTATATAAAATTATTTAAAAAGAAATCCCAGTCAATGAAGAACTGGACATGGAATACTAGTTAGTAATGGAGTAATGTCACTGCTCAGTTTTAAGTTATTTTATTTTTAATATTAAGTGAGCTAAAGGGCTATAAGGAAAAAATAGTTTTTTCACAGTTGGAATGAAGAACAAACTTAACAAAATTAAAATTACAGAATATACACTGGACTCAATGGAATCTTAATCAAGGCTAATTTAGATGATATTGATTTCAGTTGAAATGAATGGGATGAAGTGAATAGGATGCACCAAATGCAATATGGATCCAACCACTTTTATGTAACTATATTCTTCCTAAATAATACTTTTTATTTTTAAAATATTGTAATGAGTTAAATATTTATTTGTGAATATGCTAAATATATACTTCTCTCATGCTGATTTTTTTTTTGTATTTTCAACTTCAATTGGCTCGACACAGGTATGAATTTTTAAAACTTCAAATCAGTTTACTAATCCTAGGAAAAAAATAACATATAACAATGAAATGTCATTAAAGGCAAATGACAATATTGTAGAATTGCCTTGTCTTAGAAATACATTCATTTGCCCTCAGATATAGCATATGATCACATCATTAGCTACATCAGACTTCATTGGTTCCAAGATATTTTTAAAAAATATTGCCATTCCACCCCAGTAAAGCCCTTTTTTTCACTGAAATGGGATGATACAAACAACTCAAACTCTGAAGAGCCCATCGTAAAAAGAGGAGCAGCTTTGAAAAAGCCTCTGGACATGGCAATCTTCTGCCAGGGATCGGCTGACAGCTACAACTGGAATGGTTTCTACTGGTCATTGTGATGGATTAAATAAACAAATAACTTTATTGACTTTCTTATGAAATATGTTGTTTAATCTGCTATGCTTCTTTCAGTTCTCACTGCTGTTCTCATTACCAGCAGCTTAAGGTGAAAAACTTCATATAATGCAGTTTCAAAATGTTTTTCCTCAGAAAAAGCAATGCTGCTATATATTGCTAGAAATAATCAATAACTCAGCTCTTCACACTCAGCTTTACAGGAAATAATTTTATAGGAATTATAGCAAGAGAATATTGGCTTTCCCTCCTGTATGTAATTAAGTACCAAGTTAAGTTCCTTGACTCATTAATGAATGAGCAGAAATGTATATCCAAAACTGTAAGTTCGTCTTTTAGCCTTCTGTGACAAAGCTGCAATAAAATCCAAATATATCCACTCATAAGAAAATTCCAATTTCCAAAATAGCTTTTTGTATAGCAGGAATGCAAAATATAACACATCTAAATGGTTAATGAAACAAATACTGCCTAGCTTATTCTGATTCAGACATAGATTATGCCATCTATGGCCTTTCAAAAAGTCTATATATTAGGTTTATTTGATAGCAAAGAAATATCAAAATAGAAATAATAGATCTTATTGGTATCACAGAGTAATATATTATTTTATGTAGTGGTGTTATTTGTGATTTTAAAAAGTACAGTTAACTTTAATATGACAATCACATGTTCAGTAATCTTAAACCAAAGTTATTTTTTCAATTATTAGCATCAGAATACTTGTTCTTTCTAAAAAGTTGTTTTGTGGCATGCCTTCATTACTTTCTCATAAATAGCTAATAAAAGCTGGCTGTATTGGAGATTTAATCTCCTTCAAAATTATTTTATATTTTTGCAGTAGAGTCAAAGCAGAATAATTTGGATGCAAAGAAGAAGCCTAACCAATGATATTTCTCTGTAAATATCTCATTAAAAAGTTCATAGTCCTACCTATGAAAAACTGAATGAAGTCTTAGATATGTTGCTATGAGATTCTAAAACTGAAACTGCAATAGGCATTTGGATTATTTTGTGGCATATTTCTAAAAAAAATTACTTTTGTCCAGCCTCTCCTTGACCTGCACATGGTCCATATTTGTAAGCATAAACAAGCCGTGGGATGAAATCTGAAGTCACAGCAATAACAAATGCATTTGTGATGACAGAAAGAATTCCAATGCCTTCAAGAATTCCATACCAGATTCCTAACAAAAGAAAAGAATAGCCATGTCAGTTTCAACTTCTGAAATTGTAGCATTTACACACTAATCAACATTGTTTATGGTCCAGTTCTAGATAGGTCTACCAGACCTATGCCCATAAAATGCCATTTGCTCCAGGAGAAGTCAATATCAAAGATTTCCCCATTAGATATTTTTCCAAATGAATTAAAAAATCAGAGTGTGGTACTACTTTTTCCAATTGATAAATTTTATTAAGTTTTTGAAATGTGTAAATTGGGAAAAGGGTCCTCAGATTTCTCTTGATGTTTTGCTACCATAAACTAAGTTGGCTATTCTCCTATGGTGCCTGCAAATGTATTAAAATGAAAAACCTGCCACTCTGAGTCTGACATTTATAATTCAACAAATCTGGAAAGCACCAAAGGAAATCTGATTTACAGGATCCACTTTGGTGTATCATGATGTTCCATCATTGGACTGTATTTATGATCTATAAAGATAGTAGCACAATTCTACTATTTAAGGAGAAACTTGTAACAAAAATGTGTTTTGTGAAATGGACATGTACACATTGACTCGGAAGTTCTGTTGGATATTCTGGAAGTGATACAGTATAGCTCAACAGAACTGAAATTCAACATTGTTTTGAGTTTCAGCCAAAATAAAATCTGAACCAAGTTTTTTTCTTTGTCCTCATGGGCTGTGCATTGGCCCACTTGCTGATCTTCACAATGTCTTCCCATATAACAAGGTTTGAAGTAAAGGACATTGATAGAAACTAAAGGGAAGCAGGGAGAGGAGTCTTCAAAAAGTTCAGAGATAGGCAAATTAGTTGAATGTGGCATGAAGGGAATTAACAATCAATCTCCTTATGTTTCCAATACCTTTCTTTGGCCACCTCCACTACTATATCTCCATCTGGCTCCCCCCCTAAGTTGTTGCCTGGTACACACTATCTATTCCAGACATGGACTAAATACTTGTTTTGGTTTAAATAGAAATAACTGGAAATTACCCTTGTTTTTTACCTCAAACATTTTTCACATAGCTACAATTCAGCGCTACAAGTATGGGAGAATTGGAAAAGGCAAGGCCCAAGATAGCAAGCTTATTAAAAATGGTCTCTCCCAAGTATGAAATACCTTGTGGTATTAGCTACCTGATAGGCTGTATCCTGTGAGCATCTATGCCTGGGCTTTTTTAATGCCACAGAGTTATTATGAAAAGATTTATGTTTTAATTGTCTGAAACTATTACCCTAGTAGTCCTATATTAAACTTTTCTCAGTAACTAGATCTTCGATTACAATTTTCAACTTCAATTTGCTATCACACCAATATACACCCATTAAAAAATCTGTTTACCAATGTCTTTTGCTCTGGAAGCTAATGGCCGTCTCCACTGAGTGACAAATTTATAGGCATCCAGGCGTATTTCAATGATATTGTTCAGTAAAGCCAGAAATGGAGCAAGTGGAAAAGCTGCTACAAATATGGTTATGAATCCAAACTGAAGGACTGAGAAAGAAAATGTGAGAAGGAATGTCATATTTAACCAATATTTAAGTATATTTTATATATATTGTACATGACCAAGTGTACAATAATTAAAAACTAAAGGTAGAATAAAGCATGAATACAAAGCTTATGATTTCTATAAGAAATAAACATTCCTTTAGCAACCCACAACATTAAATACTAACAATGGCAGATTCATAAGAGTAGATTTCTTCCTGTACAGATTGGAATCATCTATACAGTGTATCCAAAGATAAACAGTACAGATTTGCAGACCACATTGCTGCTTAAAATAGCAAGATACAAATCAAAATATACAATGCTTTATCTTCTCTAAAAGAATTAAAAGAATTTAAGCTTCTAGATCAAACAAGTTTCTCCTTTCAGTACCTCCTCTTTGTCTCTGCTAGTTTGAAACGCTAGAAAGTATAGTATCTATTATTAGAGTCAACACGCCTGGTTAATCTAATTTCATTTACGCTTATAGATCTATGATGCCTCAAAATTTATATCACAGTGCCACGAGATGTTTTTGCTGCAAAATGGCTACTTCTCTGAAAATAATTTTATAACCTTACAAGAATGGATGCAACACTATCTTGGAAGATTTTATTTTTTAAAAAACACATTATTATTATATTGGACCACCAGAATCAAGCAACAAAGAAAGAACTGTTCATACTCATTTCGAGGTATTCATCAAAGAGTCCATAGGAATTTAAAGGCAGCAAGTTATAGTCTTTTTCCCATTGTGGTAAAGTTGTTTTTTGCTGTGAACCATACTCTTGCCGCAGTTTTCGTCTGGTCCACCAGTTCTGAATTATCCTGCATATATGAATATTATTTTTACATATTTTTCAGATCACTTAAATTTCAACATTTACAGTTTTGCCATATATTTGTTTTTTTATAGAGGTACTCATTTTCACACAATACCAATAAAAATAGCCACATAACAGAAACATAATTAAAATAAGCATCTTAAAGTATAAAATAAAAATTGGAATAATCACTGTACTAATCTGATTGCCAAAAATGTTCCAATATGGTGGACCTAGCAGTGAATGTCTGAAGCTGAATCCCTTCTCAGCAAGTCGGATGCTGAAAATTCCTCTGGATGGAATAAGAACATATCCACGTTGTGGGCACAGAATTTGAGAGAGCTCTATAACTCGTCACTGTTGGAACTTCATCAAAATTTAAGACTTAGAGCTAATACCAAATTTTCCATATGTGACAAAATATATACAATTAACTCTTGTTACACAATAATAAGAAAGGCTCCAAGAGTTGAGTTGGTGCATTTTTTAAAAAGAAAGTAACAAGAGAACAAATCCTCCAATGTCAATTCAAATCCAAATTGAAGCTCAACAATGTAGAGGTACTTATTTTGAAAGAAATTCCTATCAGAATCTATATAAACGAAAGGACTACTCTATCCTGACTGAAATATTAAAACTACTTATATTGTTGGGAAAAGTTAGAAGACATAGATTTTACCTTTTAATGAAAGAGATTTAGTCTAAATACTGTGTAAAAGGCCAGATAATTTATAGAGAAATACAAAAATGAATTACAAGAGATCCAGAAAGGCATTAAGATGAAAAGACCCAAACAAATTAAGAGACAAGTATATAACCAGCAAGAAATAAGAAAAAATGAGGAGCTGAGGGCTATGGACATGGACTTTTCAAAAAAGTTCATCAACTATGTAATAAAATGCTTAATCTGGAATATAAATGGAGCCAACTCCACCCCCAAAGGAAAAAAAGTATTTCACTATCTAAAAAAAAAGGATATAATTTGCCTTTAGGAAACACGTATTAGAAATAAAGATGTAAAATATTTATTTTACAAAAATTTAGATGAATTTAGCTCTATATATCAACCCAATTAAAACCACAATTAATAACAGCTGATCAGGATGGTAGATATGTAACAGCAGAAACGGAACTAGATGGCCAAAAAACCTGTGTGCTGGGAATTTATGCACCAATCAACAGAAATACTTTCTAAAACATATGATGGACCTAATGTTAACTCTACTGTACCAAAGTTGGTGTCTGATAGGCAACTGGAATGCTATGGTGTTTCCACAATTGGACAAAACATCTGAAAAAATTATCAAAACTATCCAAGGAAAATTGCCAAAGTCCTTCTTGCAGAAAATTTAACATTAGTCAATATCTAGAAATAAAAAAAAATGTAATTCTAGAGAATATACCTATTTTCACCAATCATTTTCAAAATAGATATGATAAGAATTTCAAAAAAATTAGTTACTCTGGCCTCAAAGTCTTTCCTTGATCACAATCCAGTTGAATTGACTTTAACAAAGAAATCAGCAAACTTTAGATGGACACTTAATGAAACTTTATTACAGAAAGATTGGATAGTAAAGTTGTCAAAGAGAAGTTAACAGAATTGTCTGACAAAAACCTAAACAAAGATACAGACATAAAAAGAGTATGGAATGCAAGCAAACTGAAAAAGAAAGTCCAGGAAAAATCTGGGAAATCTTACAGGAAATTAAAAGTAAAGAAGAATTAAGGAAATCACCTACAAAGATAAACATTCTAAACCAAACTTATTATCTATGTGTTTAGATAATAAATTGAACACTCTTAAACAAAAGAATCTTGAACATGCAAATAAACCAAGAAGGCGTTTGGCGTATATACCAGTATTAAGGAATGAAAAAGAGAAGATGATTTTGAAACTCCAGGGGGATGACACAGTTATAACAATTAATTTAGAAATACAGAAACCTTTCATTATTACTATTCCAATTTATATAAAGCAGGGGTCTCCAAACCCCGGCCATGGTCAATTACCAGGCTTTGCCCTATTTGCAACCGGGCTGTGTGAGTAGCGGGCTGGTGCATGTGCTGCTTGACTCATGTGAGTGGCGGGCTGGTGCACATGTGTGAGTGAAGCTGCATGTACATGTGCACGCCACCAAGCCGCAAAGGTTGGGGACAGCTGATATAAAGGATCTGACATTCTTCAGAATAAATAGAATGTTATCTCCAAAAGCAGAATGAACAGGTTACATTGCCCAGGAGTATGTGTCAGCACAGCTTCTGTATTCTATACATGTTACAATAAACAAGCATTAATATGTATATTTCAAAAAAGGACATACTTACGGGTAGCCTAATTCCATGAAGTTGTTCCAAGTCTGCTTTAGCACCATTATAATACCCATCTGCATACAGAGATCAATAAGGCATCCACTAGGGTGGCACTGCAGAAGAAGCAGGCAGCAAAGGAACAAAGGGAAGTTTAAGCCATGCTGACTGGGAATTATTGGAAGGAAATCCCAGAATTCATATTGAGGAAGCCGGCAATACACATTTCACAGAACTCAGCCTTGTATGTATTCTTACTATATCCTTATTACACACATCTTTCAAATACTTTCAGTAAACTAAGAAAAGGGTACTTAAATATGTTCTTTGCTTGTACCTTGCTGTTTAAAACTGCGCCAAGGTATTTATGGAGGAAAATTTTACATATTGCTATTTAAATTTGTGAATAAGTGCATGTGCTAGATTGGGAGATTCATAATTCATAGAGGGGGTTTTTTTTGAGCCAGAGAGGCTAGTATATGAGCTTTGGACCCTGGGAATACCAGTTTTAGATAATGTCTTGCATTGGCATTAATAAATAGAAGCTACAAGGATTGAAATTGGGAATCAAGGAAATCAGTTTTTAATCTGTATGACTGATCGGCTGTAAAGTTTGAAAACCTTCCCAGACTTATTAACGATTAGCTGTGCAGGCACACATTTTCACTTGCTAGGAAAATGATTTCTGCAGAATGGGCAATGAGGTCTACAGACTGGTCAATCTGGGAGTGTTCAAAACTAAGCTTTACTGACATCTGCCTACTAGCATGGACAACACAAAGCTAGACAAAGCTTGAATCAGTCAAATGGATATAGTAAAGTTTTTGCCTTGTCAGCTGCTATAGAAAAAAACTTGGAAGGAGTTGGAGATGTCTATGCAAAAACAGTTCAAGATAAAAGAATATAGAGTCACAAATTAAATATTTGAACAAAAACTCTGTGCATATTCTCAGTGTTGATGAAGGATGTTGTTCCTCGTGTAAAAACAATCTAGTATGTTTCTATACCATATAGTATGTACAATTATCATAGTTTTAGTAGAAATTACATAGCAATTATCTTAAGGCAGCCATCTCTATATTGAATTATAACTTTACTATGCAATAATGCAATAATAATTCTGAAACATGTATCCCAATGCATGCATGCATATGCATGCGTGTACACGCGCACACACACACACACACACATCAACACAGCTAAAGAAACTTAACTCCAAGACTCAGGACAATTAAAAGCATTATAGTTGTTTGTGATTTTCCCATGTTAGTTAATAGCAAAACTTTAGTTTTCTGAATTTAACTTTAGATTTAAAATGTAAGCATATTTGGACATCTTGCTTACTATTCACCTACCTACTGGTCTGTTTGCCTGCCTGCCTGATAAAACCACCTCATTCCAGAGGCTCTATATGATGTACAAAATAAAAAATGAAGAACAACATATTAAAAAAAAACAAATTATAGCAAACTATAATGGTGCAGATCTTCCTCTAATAGTCTAACTGCATAATACCTATAAGTTAAACTGGACTATTTTCTGAACAACTGTGTAATTGGATTTAAAATGCAGTGCATCTTTTTGCAATTCCATATGCATTTATATTGGAGTAGGCCACATTAACTCAATAACAATTGTTTCCAATAAATTGCACTGTTAATTACTTCATACATTATTTTTAGTGCATTGGATATATTTTAGATATTATAAATTATGAGATCCTTCCAGATCCTTCTACACAACGTATTTCAACCTTAAAAATGTATATGTTGAAACTTTGTACAATATGCTTCAATATTAACATAAAGCACTTACTTCTTCTAGTCTCCATCTGTTTATCAGTCTGAGGTAGGCACCAGGGTGACCTGTAAACCTTCAATATAGGAGAGGTCATCATCTCTTTGCAGGTACGTTTTTTATCAAAACAATAGGAATGTAAGAGGAAAATATCAAAGACAAGAGGCACAATTGTATTTTGCCATGGAAAAGGGCATTAAATTTGCATTAATGTACAATGTACCAATTGTTTTTTAAAAATATTTTTGAGGTTTATATAAGAATCTAGATGTAACATAAAGATTACTTTTCCTATCTATAAAAATAAGATGTGGGCTAAAAATAATAATTTTGTTCTTGGTTTTGACTCATAGATAATCATTTCAGCTTAGCCATATCGGAATATTCATGATAAAGTACATGCTAATATTTCAAACAAATGATACATTTAATAGTTTTCAGGTGTTTGTAAACATCCTCAAAACATTTTATTAAAAAAGTGGAACCTTCCAAATGATTATTTGATGCGTTAGTGTATTAAAAGACAAAAAGCTCTTCACAGTTGCAGTACACTGCCAACTCATACTTAAGCAGTGGTCCACTAGGACATCTATATACCTCTTTTCATCCACGTTGTGTAATATTCTGATGGACTGTCAATACACTGCATTACAATATAGCATTTAAATTAGAGATCTTATCTTGCATAAAATAGCCTCAGCACACTTGGAATAAAACTGGGCTTTAGTTATGCTTGTGACGTATTGTTCCAAATACAGGTAGTTCTTGGGTTATGATGGCAATTGGGATTGGAATTTCCATCATTAAATGATGCAATTGAAAACCGCAATATCACATGACCACATTGCTTAGCAATCACAATCCCTCCAATCCCAGTTGCTGCCATAACTCAAGAACCACAAGGGTCATTAAGCATAGACTTCATGTGACTATCATGTGGTAAAATTGGAATTCAGGCAAGCAGGATAGCAGATGAGAGCTAAGGTCAAGTGGGAGACCACTTTGGGAGAGCACTACAGAGTGTGAGAGGTTATGAGAGGCAGGCACTACAGAGCGTACATGAGTGGGGAGGCAGGCAGGTGTGGTACAGACTACAGGGAGGTGGGCGCTGTGGGAATGTGCTATAGAGTATAGACAAGTATAAACCTCAAATGGACTAACTTACAGAATGAGTTCAAAATCTGGGATCCATGATTCATGTGGAATTAAAATCTGGTAAATTTTATAAAATGCATTATGACATAAAATTACTTTAAAAGAGTTATGACATTAGAAAATGTCATTAAAAAAATCCCTGTGCTGATGCTTGACTATGCTATACAGCTCAACGTGGACTATTATCAGTATGAAATGAATGTATCCCAACTTTTCCATTGAAGGCAGTGCATCAGAAACTCTCCCCTTGTTGAAGGCACTGAGGAATCTGGTAAGGAAATATCTCTGAAATGATGGCCCGAGGGGTTATAGGTTGCTGGTATTTATTAAAGATGGAAAAATGGATGGAGAGATTTAAGTTTTATAAATGCTGGCAATACATAACATGTATGCAGGGAATGTAATTTATTAAAAGAAGTAAAAATGGCTGCTTATAATATACTTTCATCTACTCCATTGTAAGAAAGCTGGTGTATTGAATGTATGAGGAGAAATTTGAAAGGAGGATCAATGCAGTGGGAAAGATTTAATCAAGAAATATGTGGTAAATTTAGAACAGATAGTATCAAGAATGAATAGATGCTTTATGAATGTGGACTGAATACTGAAAAATGGGTGATATTGTGAAATACAAAAATGGTATGTGATTTATTTATTAAATTTATATGCTGCTCATCTCACTGTTGAACAACTCTAGGCAGATGTGATGGAAGTAAAGCATGCGTGGGAATAATTGAAATGCTTAATGATTGAATATTGAACAGAGATTAAGATAATATTTTTTTACTAGTTTAACATTTTTATGGATACAGTACAAAAGATGTTGAAAGGGCTTGGTTCTATATAGAGAATGAATTATTAAATCACACGAAGAAGACTGAATGGATTGATAGCAAGAGGAAGATAGACAAAGTGGTTTTGGATGGAACTAAGCTGTGCAATTTAAATAAGGCAATATATGAGTTAATATATGGACATAGAAGGCAATATTTGAGTTAATATATGGACATAGTGAAAGAAAGATAGAATTTATCGAGAGATATAGTGAATGGGGGTGGGAATATTTCCCCTATGTTCTACCTTTCATTACTCTTTCTTACTGCTTTTCTGCAGTTGCAGTAGCACTGCTTACCCACAAAGGAACAGCATGTTTGTATGTATGTGGTATTATAGATAAAGATACAGAATGTATTAGACAATGTGACTCACTAAAAGTTCCTTTAGTGATCGCAGTTAATCTATATTTGGGAACTTTGAGGAACATGTTGTATTCTACTACTTAAGGCATACTTAGTATTAATTCAAAACAAACAACAATTTTACAAAGAGGCAAATTAATTAATCTTACCTTCCAAGGAAAAATGCTATATAAAAGGTAGAACTGTTCAGATTAACAAACTGAAAAAGAAACATTTTCAAAGTGAAGCTGTTTTCCCACTCAGATTCAGTACGAGGCTGCTCTGTAATTTAAAAAAAATGGAAATTGTAATCAAGATATTTACTGAAATTTGAATGCTGGAGTTGGAGAAACTGCATGCACCCTACAAAGCTAGAAATGTCTTGGTAAACGTAGTTACAGATTTATTTATTTATTTATTTATAAAATTTATATACCGCCCAATCCCTAGGGACTCAGGGCTGCGTACAAAATTAAAACAATAAATATAACAATAAAAATAAATGCATTTATACAGCATGTCCCAATCGTATCCCGCCCCCCCCCGGGACATCAACCCCAGGCCTGCCGGAACAGGAGAGTTTTAATGGCTTTCTTAAAGGCCAGCAAGGTGGGAGTAGTTCGAATCTCGGGGGGAAGTTGATTCCACCACGTCGGAGCCACCACAGAAAAGGCCCTTCCCTGAGGGCCCGGCAGCCGACATTGTCTGGCTGACGGGACCTGAAGGAGGCCCAATCTGTGGGACCTCACCAGACTCTGGGAACTATGCGGCAGTATGCGGTCCTGTAAGTAACCTGGTTCTAAGCCATGAAGGGCTTTAAAGGTGATAACCAACACCTTGAATTGCATCCGGAGACCCACAGGAAGCCAGTGCAGCTCGCGGAGGATAGGTGACACGTGGGTGTACCTTGGTGCACCCACAATCAGTCTCGCGGCTGCATTCTGAACCAACTGCAGCCTCCGAATGCTCTACAAGGGTAGCCCCATGTAGAGCGCATTACAGTAATCCAGTCTTGAGGTGACAAGGGCATGAGTAACTGTGAGTAGAGCCTCCTGGTCCAAATAAGGCCGCAACTGGTGCACCAGGCGAACCTGGGCAAAGGTCCACCTGGCCACAGCTGATAGATGTTGTTCCAAATTTAGCTGTGAGTCCAGGAGGACACCCAAGTTGCGTGCCTGCACTGAGGAAGGTAAATTTATCCCCCCCCAGGACTAATGATGGACCATCAGGATGACCCTTGGGGGGCAAAACCCAGAGCCACAGATCTTGCTTATAATGTAGCCCATATTTAGAGAAAATCCTAGTTTCTGAGACATTACTTCTCAACTTTGGCAATGTTAAGAAGTGTGGACTTCAACTTCCAGAATTCTTAATATTGAACTCATACATCTTAACATTGCCATGGTTGAGAAACACTGCAGGATAAGTAGTATAGGTAGTGCAGGCAGACAATATCCACCAGCAGGAACTCACAGGTTCTGCCTGCTCTCTGTAGAGAAAGCTTCTTGCTTTCAGTTTTCCAGCTGGAGATGCTTATAACAGAACAGAGAGAGATCTGGACTTGGAATCATTCCAGGCGTTTAAAAGTGCCAAACCTACAATAGTTCATTACTCAATGGACATGAAATGGGATGTGAGTCAATTGACTCATATAGTATTCTCAGAAGCTCAATTGTATTTAGGACCCAAAGAGGCCAATTTTAAAATTTCTGTTATTTTAAGGAGAAAAAAATATGATATGAGAGGAACTGATCATACTTGGCCATATGATCTTAATTTTAGAATTAAGTACAAATATTAGCTGCAACTAGATACAGTAATAAAAACTACTAAGGATCCTATCTGAGTCAGTCATTGGGACCAAGGTTTATTCTTTTAAGCTTCTGGGCTTGTGCTGCAGCCCATCATCAGGGAACTTTTCTCTCTCAAGAATATGTGCACTGGGCTATTCTACATGTTTTATTTATATGGTACTCGATTGGTTCAAAATTGGAAAAGGAGTCCAGCAAGGCTGTATACTGTCGCCCTGCCTATTTAACTTATATGCAGAGCACATCATGAGAAAGGCAGGGCTAGATGAATCAAAAGTTGGAATTAAGATTGCCGGGAGAAATATCAACAACCTAAGATATGCAGATGATACCACTCTAATGGCAAAAAGTGAAGAGGAACTAAAGAGCCTCTTGATGCAGGTGAAGAAGGAGAGTGCAAAAGTTGGCTTGAAACTCAACATTAAGAAAACCGAAATCATGGCATCCGGCCCTCTCAATTCCTGGCAAATAGATGGGGAAGAAATGGAGGTAGTGACAGATTTTATCTTCCTGGGCTCCAAGATCACCACAGATGTGGACTGCAGCCAAGAAATTAAAAGACGCTTGCTCCTGGGGAGGAAAGCTATGGCAAATCTAGACAGCATACTAAAAAGCAGAGACATCATCCTGCCAACAACAGTGCGTATAGTCCAGGCCATGGTTTTCCCAATTGCAATGTATGGCTGTGAAAGTTGGACCATAAGAAAGGCTGAGTTCCAAAGAATTGAGGCCTTTGAACTATGGTGCTGGAGAAGACTCCTGCGAGTCCCTTGGACTGCAAGGCGTTCAAACCGGTCAGTCCTAGAAGAGATTAACCCCGACTGCTCTTTAGAGGCCAGATCCTGAAGTTGAAACTCAAATACTTTGGCCACCTAATGAGAAGGAAGGACTCACTGGAGAAGGGCCTAATGCTGGGAAAGATTGAGGGCAATAGAAGAAGGGGACGACAGAAAATGAGATGGCTGGATGGAGTCACTGAAGCAGTAGGTGTGAATTTAAATGGACTCCAGAAGATGGTAGAGGACAGGAAAACCTGGAGGAACGTTGTCCATGGGGTCGCGATGGGTCGGACATGACTTCGCAATTAACAACAACAACTCAATTGTGTATAGCTTTTAATTGTTAATTAGGGTTTGATGGGTATGAAGTCATTGATTTTTGTTTCCTTGTGTTTCTGAGCTGTAACCTTGGCTCCTAAGTACCTGATAAGTTGGTGGTAAATCTGATTGCATCTGACAACATTTTCCTGGGACATGTAGATTTACCTTCATTTGAAAGACTACTAAGATTTTAAACATTCTACTCAGATGACTGGTAACAGAGTTCTAAAAAAATAAACATTGTTTTACAGAAAAAATGTCTGGTCCTACATGGCATCCTTTGCACTTTGTCCTCTTGTACCAAAGTCTGACAAAACACATTCTAACATGCTGGAAAATATGTTTCAAAGGAAGTTAGTTTGAAGAAATTTCCTTCCTATTGCATATTAATAGTGCAACACTAAAACATCTTAAAGATACTAGTTGAAAACTTGAAGCACCTAGTTAGACAAGGCATGCCACATACTGTACATACTTGGTTGCAAACAAACTCTGAGAAATAAAGCAGCAGGTGTATTATTTAATGTAATGAAGGAGAAATTTCAATCTGGAATCAAAGACCTCTTTTTGACATAGCAAAAACAACTCCAACTTTTTACGAAGTCCGTCTCATACTGATGGCTCTTAAATAGATTGTGAAAGTTTAGAACTAGCTCCGACAGTCCATTTTATGCTGTTTAGGTCAGTTACAATCCATTCTAAAAATGTGAGTAGTGGGTTTTGTGCAAAAAAAATTAATACATATGAAACTGTATTATACAGTTACCTCTTTTGCTTACAAGAAATTGTATACTATACAAGTATCTTATTTCTTTGCATTCTTGCTCTGTAGGATGGAATACTAGATGAATGGGAAAACTGGCATAGAGAAAAGTAAGTTGATTTGATGGAAACATGCACACATACAAATACACATGCATACATACAGGGAAACAAATAATACAGAATACTATTAGCTCCATTTATAATAAATGAAGGTGCATGATGATCATGAAACATATTACTTCATTTTCATTACTTACCTAAATTTGTCAGAAAAAGAGCAACCTTTTCATGTAACTGCAAAAAATGAAAAAGGATATAATTTTAAACTAATATATAAATCAGATTTGATTAACATTATGTGCTTACTACCTTCATTCCTTGTTTCTCTATTCTAGCAGTGATAATGACAGCTTTAGAGGCAAAATGTTACTGACTTTTCTTTTAAAAATGCCTAGGGGGCTAAATAGAGCATTTTGAATCCCACTGAGTTTGGATATTCAATATTAGTTTGCAGTTGTACAAATCTATATTTCAAATCAACTAAGACAGTGCTTTGAGAAAGGTATATTTTAGACTTGAATTATTTATGTTTTGTATTTATTAACATATATTACAAGTTATGCTATACTTTTGAGGAGACTATTTCTTATTACAGAAATCTGAGTACAACTAAGAAACAACCTAAACACAGATTGAAATTAGTCAAGGTGTGAAAGCTTCCTTACAACATTCAGCAGCATGATGATGCAAAAGTTGATGCACACTGCAGTCCCAGTTGTTGCAACCTGAGAATTATTCTTGATTAAAGCCCATTTAAAGGCAGCAAAAGTGCTGACAGTCACAACACGATAAATAACAATGCCAAAAACAGCGGCGATCACCACACAGATCTAAAGGAGTAATAGAAAGAATATACAGTATAACTTACAACCAGGACATTAGCTCTTAACAATCAAATAATAAATCCAATTAAGTCATTTATAAATTACTTTGATTTTCTTAAAAGAATTGAGGCATGGGACATATGGGGATTTGTCCCTGATTTCCTTCTTCATTTTAATGTGATCTCTTCCTATTATTACTGTCATGACAAGAAATAATACTCAAGGACCAAAGTGTCAGACTAACAGGGTCAATTATGCAATTTAATTTTCAGAAGATAAAATTTCACGCTTGGAGGACTTTGTATTCCGTAAGTTTTCACTTCTCAGTGAAGTTGCTCAACCTGGCATCATATCCAAGGGCTGGCAGTTTTCTCTAGTTTTTCTCTAAAGGATTCAGTTAGGCTGAAGTTCAGAAAAGCAATTAAACTAATAGTTTCTTAATTGCTGCTCTGATTAAAACAGATAAAGAAATTTACTTAATTGCTCTACTGAAGTGAGATTTTATTACAAAAATCTCTTTATTATGATGAACTGTTCCTCTCAGAAAAGTCAATTAACACTGATCTGCAACAGTAAAAAAAAAAAAAAAGCAAGTCTCAGATCAGAATTGAGAGAAGGAAGCAATGACCATTATCATAAATATGGACATCCAATTTCTGGAGTAGTTTCAGCATAGAATAATTATGGAATGCTTTGGGATCTATAGATATTGAAACAATTATTTGGTAGATATTATTGAAAATAAAGGAAATAAACAAAAGCAAGGAGATAATAATTTGCTGAGCTTCACTTGTAGATAAGAAGCAAATGAAAACCAAATGAAAGCAGCTAATAACTGCTTTAATAATCCCTTGACTTTTGAAATGCACTTAGTTCTTATACAGCAGTAACCAAATAATAACATTCAATTCCCTGTTCTATAAAATAAATGCTGGTTGCATTTATTTTAATACTAAATGACCCCTATAAAATGAAGTTCAGCTGTTTGAAACACATTCTCAATATTTGAAAAATACATTTCAACAAATAATAAGTTTTAAACTAATTAAATATTTAATTAACCTTGAATCAAATGCTAAAGATGAGTCAAATGCTAAAGGCTATCAATTATTTTTATAACATAATTAAAGTTAAGCTCATATAAATAACAGTCAAAATAAAAACTATAAAGTAATAGTTTATTGTTTGGAAATCTAAAGTTATTATGGGCATAAGTTTTCTTCCACTTCACATAAGCACATTTAAGAGTGAGGAGACCTCTGTACCACAACCACTACAATTACCTTATGCAAGCAATCATCTTGCAGTGGTATCTGCAGGAAACCAAGATGACATGAAATGTGACAATGCCATGGCATGAATTCTGTTTTTATTTGTATCAGATACCTTGACACAAAACCATAATCGTTATATGATTATGTCATTACCCATGTGTTTTCATTTGTCCCACCCTGGCCTTCATTCCAGCCAACACTTATTTATAAAAGTGTTTAGAGTTAAGCTGATGGTCAGTTTACAGAATACATAATTCTACTCTTTAAGAAAAAGTAGGTCCAATTTTGCATTCAATATTAGCTTTAATTGTGGAATAGTCTTTAATTTTTTAAAAATATTGTGTATGCTTGGAGGATAAACATATCACACAATAAAATGAATTAATCTACACTAATATTAAATAACAATCCTTTTCTTTGCTAGATTTCCCTAGTCCAAACATGTCAAACTCGCGACGTCACATGACGTCGTGCTACGTATTGGAACTTTTTTGCCATTGCTGGCAATGAGGTGGGCACGGTTTTGCGATGACGCGTCCAGCCTGCGGGCCGGCAGTTTCACACCCCTGCCCTAGTCAGAGCTTTTAAAAAAAAACATGCTAGAGTTGTTTTATTTTCATTGATTAAATTGATCACTCCTGTATTTCATTTTTATTAAACATGATAGCAAGTAAATGTTTCAATAATAGTATTGAATATTAAATTCCTAGAACATAAGACAACTCTACAATACAAATGATTTTAAAACAGGAAAAAAAACTAGAAAAGTCAATATGGCTTACTGCTACTTTAAAATATATACACTCCATTTTGGTGATATTTTAAAAATCTAGTTTTCAGGAAAAACAAAATGAATTAGAATTTTCAAACCATAAAAAATATTCCAGATGCAGAAACAATCATTCTACTGCATTTATCTGCAAACGCTTGATAAGGCTCTGGTTTTCCGGATATAGGATTCATTCTCTCTTTCTTGGAGTACTTGGCTTCAAACTGGGGGCGTATTTCTTCCTAAAGAATATAATACATCTTTTTTAAAAAAGTATTATATATAATTGTGTAGAGAGCTCAAGCTTTTAGTAATTTTATGAAGCTTTTATTAATACATTACATTTAGTCAAGCCAGTAGACTGAGATGTTAAAAATATTTAAAAGAATTGCTAAGAAATAAGTAAAGTACTATTTTGTAATCCTTCAGAGAGAGGTAGCAGATATCTTTACAAAGTTAAATGATTCCTTTAGTTTTTGACAGTACAGTACAGGAAAATTCTTCAAACTTCAGGAAAATTACTATGTCCTCCCTCTTGTTGCCTTTCATTATCAAAACTTAACAATAGAAGGTTAATTATGATATTTTAACTAAGTATCTTGCAGCAATGCCAAAGCATTAATGTAGTCAGGCAGCAACAGAGAACCTCAAATCACAGAAGGACCCTTTATGAGCTGTCCTCAGCTATCTGGCCAACTTGATCTCCACACATAAGCATCTTGGACCTACTGCTCCTTTTTGCCGCTATGACTCATTAATTGGACTCACTTTTTTCAGTGGCATCTGAGACCTATTTTACTCAAAGCTGCGCTTATAATGGGAGCTGATTCTAAGGTGCTTCTTTGCTTGATTCTGTAATGGAGGTTACCTTAGATCAGGGGTGTCAAACTGCCGGCAAGCAGGCTGGATACATCATAGCAAAGCTGCACCCACCCCAATGCCGGCAATGGCAAAAAAGTGGCGATGTGTTGTGACACATCACATGATGTTGCAAGTTTGACACCCCTGCCTTAGATGGCCTAAGATAACACTAATGTTTGGTATTGCCTCTGAGCAAATTAACATATTGGCAATTACTGCTACAAGCAGAGTGCTGACCCGGTTCTTATGTGGGGACTGAAGTGTTCAGTATTTCTTTTATACATCTTATTATATTAAAAGAATTCAAAATGAACACATAATTTAATTTTACACATCCCTTCATTTATCTAAAAACCAAACAACTGACGTATTATATAATTAGGTCCTTATATGAATTGCTGCCAGTGAGAGAATTTACACTTATATTAATATTTGCAACTAAAATTGTGTTTTGCTGCAAATATATTATTGAATCAATTCAGTTTTGAGAATTGAGAATAATATTAGTAATTAATGGAGCAAAGTGCTGAAGCTATCATGAAAGGAGCTAAGAGAAAGGACTTTGCATAGCTGCAATGTTTATTCCAAATTTGCTGTAGAATAGTTGATGACTAAACTATTAAATGAGTTTCTTCTCTGCAAGAAATAGATATAAGATTCCTTAATATTGCTTGGCCTTTTTTTTTCAGCCACCCATCATTTTCTGTTCACTGTTTCATATTGATCAGATTGTTGACTGATTTGTGTCTTCTGCGATGACAGTGACTCAGCTAAAATGACATAGACCAGAACAGCTAAAAGAGATACCGGGAAACAAACTCTAAGTTCTATGTGGCAGGCAATCAGCTTCCATATTGTCTGTTTATATTATAACTGAGACTGTTAATAGTACATTAATATTAATTAAAATTGTGACATATTATCCATACAAACCTCCTCTTCTTCCCAGTCAATTAAGTCCCAGTCATAAGCAATTACTGCTCGTCTTCTTTTCCAAAATTCCAAAAAAACAGTGGCTATGGCAGAAAAACAGAAGGAAAAATATATCCAGTAATATTATTGAATGAGAATTTACAAGATTCCCCCTCTGCAACCAGAAAATGTATATACAGTATATCAATTCCCCTGATAAATATGGTTACTACATTGTGGAAATGTTTAATCCTTAACTAAATACAAAATGGCAAGTCTCTGGTGTAGTGTGTAATGGAAAAATCACAGAAAGAGGAACGCTTTATTAGTTTCTCAGCACTAGCATTTTAGTGTCCCCTATTCTTGGAAAAAGTAGGAAATGAACAACATAGGAAGCTATTTCATCCAATTTACTCTGTAGGTATGGCTAGTGGTGATAATCCATATTTCAGAAAGGAAATATCTTCACTGAAGAAAATGTCTGCCTTTTTTCTGATCATTTTTTTCTCTGCAGGCCTGACTAGATCTAGGTCAAAGTCAATCTTTTTTTGCTAGTGACTATTCTCACACCAAATTTGGTGCTGTTCAGAGAGTTATTCTGCCAACAGCACAGACCTATACATAGACAGATACAGTTCTAAACCCTTTCACATAATAGCAATAGCACTTACACTTATATATCACTTCAGAGTGCTTTACAGCCCTCTCTGAGCTGTTTACAGTCAGCATATTGCCTCCAGCAATCTGGGTTCTCATTTTACTGACCTTGGAAGGTTGGGAGGCTGAGTCAACCTTGAGCGGGTGAAAATCTAACTGTGGCAGTCAGCAGAATTACCGTAGCCTGCAATACATCATTCTAACCACTGTGCCACCAGGGCTCTAATTTCTTCTCAACGTTTTGTTTGATTGAAAAGAATGGGAAAAAAGGATTCGTGGAATACTGCATATAATTTAATCCTATTGTGTTACCTAGAAATTCTTTGGCAGAAATTCAAGTTGAAAGGGTCCTGAAAATAAAGCATGAAATTCTATTGTATTTGATATAATATAAGGAATACACAAATACAAATCAGTCTAAATTTGGTCAGTGTTGGTGTAACATATTTCCACATATTATTTTGTGTTCTGTCAATTTTGTTCTGCACCTAAAAAGTATGGGAGAAAAATCCTATAAATTGTTATTCGTGTTTCCTCTTAATATATGGTGCTTTATTTAAATCTATTTTTGGATACATATTTCTAACATGTCTTAATGCAACAATTTAGGTGGAGAATGACAGTTGATAATGCATTTTGTTCATTGCTGCCAATCTGCATTAGGATAGAATCAGAAAAGATCATATCTTTCTAATCTGTATGGTGAAAAGCTCCATGAAAAGTTGATGATGGTGGTGGAATGAAGAATCAGTGAGTAGATCAATTCTTCATTGATCTATATAGTCAGCCCTGATCCTCCTGATATTCTGAAAGAGCCTAAAGACCTGACTCTGCCAGTTAGCTCGGAACTTCAATGGGGGAATATCACAGTGGAGGTGGTTGATTGATTAACAATAGATCCCACCCTCCCCTCCCCCCACTCTCACCCTCCCCAGGAAGTTCTGGATTTTATATAAGCCTATTTATGTTTTTAGTTTATATAGTTTTTATTTTTTTTATGACTGTAAGAAGCCCAGAGTTACTTTGAGATAAGATCAATGGCTTATAAATTTTATAAACAATTAGATAGGATAAATAATTCTGCTCTGCACAAAAAGAGAACTTAAGATCGTCCACAAGTACTCCTGACATTTTTTTTTTTCAGAGAAGACTTAAAGACAGTGGTTTCCAATAGATTTAGAGCTCTGGGAGATGAGCAAAAGCCATCTTGCTTAAACTGAGGTCACTGCCTTTGAATGTTTACTGGATTTGCAGACTTCCTTTTCTAATCACTTTTAGAAATTTCTTGTTAACTGTTTTTCAGCTATTAGGGATGTTTGAATTTGAGAACCCAGGTAAGTTTCCTTCAATCCAAATAGCAAATGAAGTTTTAAATACAAATTTAAGGACTTATTTTTTTATGGAATAAACAGCAAAAGGGTGATTAAATCTTTGGTTTTAGAAAGCTACAGACAGACTAAGGCAGTGGTTCTCAACCTTTTTAATCCGCGACCCCCAACCGGTCGTAAGTCGAGGACTACTCAACCGGTCGTAAGTCGAGGACTACTCAACTGGTGCAGCACTGTTTGCAGAATGGGACTTTTGGCGGGCTCAGCAGGGCAGAGACAGCCTGGACAATTCCTATTGGCTTTTGAAAGCCAATAGAATTAGACTCTATTCAAGAGAGTCTATTCTATTGGCTTTCAAAAGCCAATAGAATAAAAGGGAGTAGCACAGCTAAGGAAAAGGGGAAAAAAATGGCGGACTGCGTTGTTTGGCGACCCCCGTGAAATGGTTGTTCGATCCCAAATGGGGTCCCGACCCACAGGTTGAGAACCACTGGACTAAGGGTATGGAAAATTTTGAAATAAGATTTTGGAATTAATTATAAAGAAGGCTTCCTGTGGGAAACACTTTCATTTTAATTTCTTTTAAAAAATAAGATAGATATCTGCTGTCCTATACTGTTCCTATTGAGCTTGCAAAGATGAGGGCAGATGAAAATAGAAACATTCATTTTTAAAGAACAGAACAGAGGCGTAGAAATACCCTAAGAATTTCATATCATTGAACTAAGTCTGCTGAAGTTAAGCATATCCTCCATTTAGTTATTTTAAACACAATTACACTGATATTATTTCCTAATTATCACTTACCCCATACTGCCATGAAAACAGCAAAAAAAACAGTTGCCCCATTGTCAAAAAGATGTGTTACCTGGAGAAAAATAATTTTAACTTAAATTCATTTAATTTTTCTTAATTCACATTGTTTTATGATTTGTAAACTAGGCAAAATCTTATATATATCAATTTTTATTTCTATCTATTCTACTTAGGAAACCCTTTAAAGTATAAGTTTAGCACTAATGGTAAAACCGTAAGCATGTCTTAGAGGGTTTTCTATCTAGCGCCAGGAAAATCAGGAAATCCAGACAGTTCAAATGGGTATAAAGATTTATTGTAAGCTTGACCTCTCAATAAGAATCTGAACTACTAACAGCCAAGGGAAATTAGCAGGAGATAAGAGTAGAAGAAATTCAAGGTGGGCTGGACTTAGATCTCTTATGGGCACGAAGGGACTCATGACTGATGATGCAGTTGACCCCTCCCTGGGGCTCAGCCTGACCATCTTCTACATTTTCTATGTACTGATAAGTGAACTTCTCCAAAGAATTGTAAGTAAATACCTTACTGAAGTTTAAAGCTAAATGTTATTTTTATTGGAAGGAATTTTTATATAATTTTTAATAGTTCTAAAATGTTTTCACTAGATTCTACTTGTGAGGTTCTCATGGGAACAGAAGAGGAGCTTTGCTAATAAGATTAAATCAAGGGCTATTTTATAGGACAATGTAGTTAAAAACACATGAGGGCTCAAATGTAGCATTTGTCTGAAACTCTTTAAAGTAACTGTTTCTTTCCCAGGATCATGGGGCAAATGCAAAGTGTTGCATTTAAACTCTCACAAACTGTGAAAGATATTTTCCAAATTATTTAAATGCAGCACAACTCCTAGTCCCTGTTCAACCAATTGCCTTCAAAACCTCACAAGTAAAAGTATAAACAGAATCCCTATCCCCATCAAGAGGCTCATCACTTTCAATAATAAAGGCAATATAAAACAGTAATAATTTTATATAACCTTTAATATAATATAGTGAGCTATAGACATTAAAAGCTTCTGTTAATCTCCTTATTCCTCACTCACTATATTTATCAGCAAATCCTTTTTAAAAAACTAGGTATGCTTAATACTTTAATATCTTAAGAAGCAAGCTCTATGAAGGTGCTGCATTCAACTCCACAGAGTTAAATATCTATCTTTTTTTAATGCAATGTCTTTAGATTATTTAGAATACAGACAGACAGACACATACACACACACACACACACACACACACACACCCTACATACATACATACACATAGATAAAACTATTAGTAGAAAAAGAAAAACAGCATTTATTTGTACCTTGGCATAAATACAGCTATCTGACAACCTCATGAAGGGACAGTATTTATCACAAATTGGGCACATAATAATCTCTGTAGCCTGGCAGATTTCTTTACTGCAAAAGAGAAGAGCTAATGATTACTATCCCAAGTTCTAATTAATTTATTTTATTTAAAAAAAAAAAACTCCCATTATTTAGACAACAGTGGAGTTAGAAAGAAAAGGTGCCTTTTTCTATAATAATAGAATGTTTTCTTTTGGGCTTAAATTAGTTTAAAGACACATCAATCAATAGTTCAGGTCATTACATTCAACATGTGTACAATTTTTTCCACATCTGTGAACCCTGAGATGCTTCCTTATGCCGCAGACAGGAATAAAGGAAAAAACATTTTCTGGGTATGTGTACTTGCTGTATCTTTAAATTTCCTGCCTTCTTGCTGTGACAAGAAGCACCGATGTTAAATTTGCTTTCCAATCATTCTTTAGATTTTTTTATGTGTGTCTCATTGAAATTATTGTAATAAATTCTCCTGGGATGGTTAACTGTTTCATTATTTAGAACATTTAGACTACATTAGTCTATAAAATCATCTTTAGTGTTCCATCCCAGTACAAATGGCACTTTGGAAGGTCATAGTTTGTTTCAAAGATATGCATTATTACAAGTCAGAGCAGGACAAAACCCTTATTTTACCAAAGAAACTTGCATACAGAATAAATAAATCAAGACAATGAAACAAATGAATCAAATTATACTGTGTAATGCATTACGATTGTTAACTAACAAGGAATTAACCATTTACAGAATATTTATCGAATATTCTAGAAATATTTGCCCCATTTTGGCTGATAAAGGAACTAACTAAATCAATTAAAGCATCTGAGAAAATGGTAGAGACTATGGGAAGATAGAAGTAGGATAAAAAGACATAGGCAGAGAGTAAGATATGAGCAGAGAAGGGATAGAAAAAAATCTGATTAATTTTCTTAATCATATTAAGTTATGTAAAAGTTGGAACAGAAATAGCTGTCTGTTTTTTTTAAGAGAACATATGGAATCTATGATCAAACTCATAAAGTTAAATCAATAAATCAGTATCCAATGTGGGTTCGTCACCAGGAGCAGAGGTTTTGTCTTCCGAGCTTTTGGACTCATGCTGAAGCCCATCTTCAGGAAACTTCTAGAAAGAGATTCCCTGAGGATGGGCTCCAGCCCGAGTCCGAAAGCTTGGAAGACAAAATCTCTGGTCCTGGTGACTGACCCACGTTGGATCCTGGGACATGTATATTCACCTTCATTTGCAGTAACTCAGTGTTTGAGTGGCCAAATGATTCAGTGATTACTGTACAGTTTTGGATTAGATTATGGCCTGTTAAACAAATAATAGGATTTTTCTGATATAGGGATAGCAAGGTCTGTCAGCAGATGCAAAATACTGCATGGTTGCTAATTGAAAATAATTTAAGATTCATTTGTATATCAAGAAAAAATGTGAAAATATCCATATTGCAGGAGCAGAACAGCAATATATAATAGGTTTGAAAGAGGAAGTGAGGTAAGTACAGGTTATTAAAACAAATCAACAAGAGAAAAATAAACATATCTCTTAGAATGGCAAAACCTTTAGCAATGCTGCCACCCTCCAGACTATTCATAAGTACATTCTCTACCATCTTTTGTGCCAAAATAAAAAGTAGCTATGATATAGTAATTCAATTTAAAAAAAAACAATTAATATAATTGTTTTGGAAATAAGCACAGGAATATATATAATATTGACTTCACCTGACTTGGCAGTAGTTCAGTGTGGCTATTCCATATAAAAAGACAAATAGTCCAATGAAGGCTGCTGGAAAGAGCATTCCTGTATACCAGCCTAGCCAGGCAAAATATAAACCAATTTTCTCACCAAAATACCGTCTATTCAAAAACACAAAAGCAAGCAATTTTATTAACATTTCCGAAGTAGAATTTATTAGTGGTTCTTAATATAAAATGATCGAGAAATGTATGGGCTTCCCATATATGAGTAAGATCACATATCACATTCTTTCACCCATAGTTTTAAAAAAATATTGTTGTTTTATTGATGCAGATGCATATATTCATGCAAATAAGCAAGCAATATTGAATATTGTATTACCACTTGTTTCAAAAACTAATTATTACTAGTGAAAGAATATTCAGATCACTCCTTATACACAATTAGATCGATAGACCTGCCTCTTTATTCATTTAACTTTGTTAGAGATGTCTGCTATTAATTTTAAGAGACTGAATTTTGCCAGTCTATGCCCAAAAATATGAAAAACAAAGAACAAATTAGTTTCATGAGATAATTTCAATTTCCATGAGAATTTTTGCAACACTGCTCCTCAGTTTTTCATTCAGGATCTTTAGAACTAATTTACATAGCAAAATTGATCATATAAGATAAGGTTTCTATGGGTACAGAGGCCCCTTTGAAGCTCAGTATTGCTCCAGATTGACTTTATAGTGTTACTGCACCCTACTACTTGCCATTGTCAGAATTTGCCAGTTTATGACTGTGATTTCAGAAATTCAGCTAGATCCCAGAGGTAGAAACCTTGAGAATCTCAAAATAACCCTCTGCAGAGCTGGATGCAGTGGGCATGGGCAAAGTCGCCTTAGGTTGTTTTTTCACCTGGTTAGCCCTGGTAGAATTATCTAGCAGTACAAAGATCACTTTAACCAGTTAGCAAATAAGTGTACAAAGGAAAGGAAATAGAACTTCCTCTAAATGGCTGGAAAAAGATATTCATTCTGTATAAATATACATTCTGTATATTTAATTGAACATGCATCGGTTCCTGTGCTTCTGCTGTACACCCACTTTAAACTGTTTGAAATTCTTCATTCCACTAATATAATATGTGCTAAAGGCTTTCAGGAATCAGTTCTCATATTCCTCTCTTAGTGCCACAGTTCTCGCAAGAACAACATCTGTCAGAGGAAGCCTTCCAAAAAGGGAGTTTACCAAGTTAACTATCACTTTGATAAATCAGAAAAATGTGTAATGATATATTACATCATCTTTGATATGATGTCAATATGCAGATATAACACTTGTTTCTTTCCCAGAGAAAGCAGCAATAGACATATTTTTCACAACAATGCAACTTAAGTATGATCTGGTAAACCTCATCAATGAAAAGGTAACAGGGCAGATTAGTCTCCTGGCACTCACAAGAGTTCTTGAGAATTTCAGATACATATTGTGAATATCAAAACTCAAATGAGGCAACAAACCAATTGCCTCAAATCAAACCACAAAATATATTTCAGTATTTTAGGTTACCTATACATTTCTAATACAAATGATTTTTTAAAGAAAATTTACCGTATAAGATCCAAAGGTTGGTATTTATACCAAGCTCCCCATGAGGCCCAACATTTATAAAGCAGATGCCTGTGGTTTTCTGCCCCATGACTTCTTATGGAATTTTTACTTTTGTAACTACCCTAAAATACAAGTAAATAAATAAAGAATTAGTTAATAGATATTTATAAATATCAATGAATAATAATATTTTAGAGCATTAAATTCATAAATATAGATTTAGCATTATTTATCACCGAAGTTCTGTTACCATTCAAATTATGATTAGCTGGTACTCTATTCTATCTTAGGAAGTTAAGAAGGAAGTTATAAATCTATATAAAATTTTCTGAGAATAAGTCCTACTGAATACAATGGCTCATATATCTGAGTAGACCCCATATTTCAAAGAAGCAACCACAATTTTTAAAGTTTATTTTTTAAGAATGGAGGTCTTAATTCAGTATAAAATAAGTGCAGTGTTAAAAATGAAAGACTGAATTTGATATTTTGTAGTAAAGTTATACATATTATAAAGTTAATCAAAAAGAGAAAATACTACTCATTACATATGTGTAGAAACCTTCTTCCGAACTTTCATTTGTTTTAAACCATGTAATTTTGTCCAACAATTACAGGTAGTCTTTGACTTATGATTATAATTGAGCCCAAAATTTGAGACATTTGTTAAGTGAATTTTGACCCACTTTATGACATTTCTTGCCACAGTTGTTAAGTGAATCACTGCAGTTGTTAAGTTATTAACATGGTTGTTAAGTGAATCTGAATCTCATTGACTTTGCTTGTCAGAAAATCACAAAAGATGATCACATGACCCTGGGACACTGCAACTGTCACAATTATGAGTCAGTTGACAAACTTCTGAATTTTGATGATGTGACCATAGGGATGCTGCAACGGTTGTAAGTGTGAAAAATGGTCATAGGTCACTTTTTTCAGTGCTGTTGTAACTTTGGTCACAAAATGAACTACTGTATGTTGAGGACTATCTGTATACAAAATTAAGCTAGGTTCACACAGAACAGCTGTCTTGCATATGCAAAGTTACACTTATTCTACACAAATGTAGAAGATACGACGATTGGGAATGGTTGTATATTGAGTTGTTGATTGTTGTTATTATTGATTATAAATCTTGTACTTGCAGGAGTTATTTCTTCTGTAATGTCAGTTAGGCAAGTATTAGAATAACTTATTGAGATGTCTTTAATTTCATCAGAAGAAAAAGCACTTGAAGAATATATATTGGTAAATTCATGATTTGATTACAAAGGTTTGCGTTCCTGTGGGAACAAAAGGAACATGTAACACACTCCCCTGAACTTTCCACCGATGGTCCTGAATTTATGTCCTTTCATTCTATCATTCATTGTTTTTGACTTAAAAAGCTGAACCCCATCTTCAGACATATTTTCTTAAATATGAATTTATACATCAAAACCTTTAAATTATTCTATTTGACTTTTTTGATCATTATTTGTTGTGAATTCAAAGACATATCTTTCTAAAAAAGAATCTGAAATTCCATTTTGTTTCATTTGTCCAAATGAGAGAACCTAGATGGATTCTCCCCTTAATATAGTGAAAATCAGGATTAATGGACCAACAATAATGGTGGGAAGTAATTGGATTAAAAAAAATAAAATAGAAGGAATACCTCATGAAGAGGAAATGCAGCTTCATAGGAACCATTAGTAAGCAACCGATTGAGACCTAGAAATAGAAATATTTAATATATAACAGAAAAGGCTGGAATGTATACAGTATATAATATATTATATTCAGCGTTAATCTAGAGGTGCTTAAATGAATCAATCAATCAATTTAATATGACTGTATTCAAAGAGCGGGCAGTAGGTGTAAATATGAGAAGATACAAGTTACAAATACTACACACACTTTAGTATTTTTCCAAAAGTTATTATTGAATTAAAAGATACAAAAAGGAACAATTTTGGTAGCTAATAATTGTACCAAGAAATATACTAGTATCGGTAGTCCTCAACCTATGACCACAACTGACCCCAAATTTCTGTTGTTAAATAAAGACATTTGTTAAGTGAGTTTTGCCCAATTTTATGGCCGTTCTGGCCACGGTTGTTAAGAGAATCACTGCAGTTGATAAGTTAGTAACCCGGTTGTTAAATGAATTTGGCTTCCCCATTGACTTTGCTTGTCAGATGGTCGCAAAAGGAGATCACATGACCTTGAGACACAGCAATGGTCATAAATATGAACTGGATTTTGATCACATGATCACGGGGATGCTACAAAGGTTGTAACTGTGAAAAATGGTCATAAGTCACTTTTTTCAGTATTGTTGTAACTTTGAACAGTCACTAAATGAACTGTTGTAAGTCGAGGACTCTCTGTACTGCAGCTTCTCTTAACTCTATTCTGTGTAATAGCAAAGGTTGAAATAAAGTAAGAGTTGCAGAAATCCTACACTTACCGACTTTATTTTTTCCTTCTTCATATTTCACCCTTTGTAAAATATGGTGAACAATTCTACTTCTTGTAGCATTGTTAAAAAATGTGTCCTTATTGTGAATGATAAAGCTGTTTTGAAAATACAAGCAAGGAAATGCAATTATTGTTTCTGACAACTGAAAAGATTTCACTAATATTTCTGACATACCAACAATAAAATATAAAAAATATACAGTAAATAAATGTATCTTCTATAAAAGTCCTAATCAACTGCATTATTTTTAAAAATATTGTAAATAAAAACTGTTGCTTATTAGAGTTTGTAGGATATATAGTCATAAAGAGGTAAATCAGCTTCAGTGATATTCGTTATAAAATGAAAGGATCATACCAATTTATTTGTGGATGAAGCAAACGATGAGTTCCCTTGCCAATTCTATGTTAACCAAATTGGCCACTGAATCTTAAATCAATACCAAACTTGAGTGAAAAAGTATGTGATTCCTTACCAGATATGACAAGTCAACATTAAGATTATGCAATGCTTAGAATACAAAGGCAAAAAGGTGTCCCAAAATATAGGAAAAGCTGCGGTTGCTTTAAGGAATTGTATCCTACACACACCGAAATACCTTTTTGCCTTCAAATCTGAAATGCTCTGATTAGAAACATTTCAGAGTCAAGGAACCCTCACACCAGTTAGTATATAACCAAATGCACCTGCAAGACAGGGAAACAACTGAAATGCCTAGCACAAGATAAATGAAACCTACTCAGAATTATAGGAGGCAAACCGGATAATGTAACGGGGTTACAGAATTTCATTTTATTCACTTTTTTGGACACATTTCTTTTTAATAATATTGAATACTAGAAATACTATATTTTTATTTGTTATATGGTGGAGTAAGAAATCAATAGAAGTGGTTGTTTAGATATCTGAAAGTGCTCTTGATGTGACATAGAGCAGGATAAAGGATGTGCAGCACACTATCAGATAAAGAATAACTTTGCAGCTGGCAATTAAGTCAGCAGATTAAATTTGATTTATCTAGATTGGAAATATTTTAGATTAAAAATCACAGATTTGAATCAAATGTAATGATTTCCTGTAATAAAATTTAGGCAACATATTTTTATCTACTGGAAGACATGCCAAGATAAGTTGAGCCTGCTTTGCTTTGCAGTAATTCTTTCAGAACACTAAGATGTACAGCATTATATCAAATAAAAATAGCCCGTTTTAAAAATATTATCCATGTACTGTGTGGACCAAAAAAATGCTTAACTAAATTTCCATTTTCTTCTCCTATTGTGGTGGTAACGGTCATTGTAGAATTCAACATGACATTTCTAAAGATAAGACTTCAACATTTATTTTCATATTAAAATATCTTTTTTCTTTCAGATAATATTTATTTGCCACAATTAATTCAAGCACTATTTTTTTCTTTTTTTGTTTATCTACACCCTAAATATTGGTAAACTCAGCCCCTGGTAGCTACCTCTCCCTGGTGTTTGCTGACTCTCATACTTCTCATTGGGAGAGGGAGCTGACAAAGAAACTCTACTTGCTAAGTTTTATGGGGGATGCTCTGGGAGATTATGGTCTCAAGGATGCCCAGTTTAGGGTAGTCCAATGGCTTGTGGACATAGATTTGCAATACTTAAGAGCCAGGGTCAACAAAACCTACTCCCCTTTGATCTTTAGCCATTCTAATAATTATGGATTGAGGATGGCCTCTTATTTCTATACTCTAACCATCCCCAAGTATAGAAGAGTCTTTTCCCTAGCCCGTTTCAATGTCTTGTCCTTAGCACTATTCGACGGGCGATTCAAGAGGCTCCCGTTTAGTGAGCGACTATGCCCCTGTGATAGGGCTGAAGTTGAAATTGTGGAGCATGTCTTATTATACTGCCCTATGTATAATACAGCCAGAATTAAATTATTGCCTTTCCTTGGAATTGATCCCTCTGGTTCTAATGTTAGTAATTTGGTTTTAAATTGTCTAGGGGATGGCTCCTCCTATATTACTTCTCAGGTTTCTAAATTTCTTTTAAGAGCTGTAACTATTAGAGGAGAACGTTGTAATTCCCTTTAGCCAAGGCTTCTGGTGTTAATTGTTTGTGATTATATTTTTCTTGTGTTTTCTTTTGTTGCACTTGCATTTTGGTCTGTGACCGTAAAATAAAAATTAATTAATTAATTAATATTGGTAAACTAATAATGATACCATCTCTGGGCAAATGTGAGTTTTTGAGGCTGATAGTGAATGTGATCCTTAATCTCTATAGGCCTAAACTAAAATCCTAACTACTGTACTGTACTGATTCTCCAACTTTTTATTTTTTAGAGGACATAGAAAAGTAATGTGTCTACAAAATGGAATAAGATATATATATCTTGATCAGTTAAGGACCTCTTTATGTCAGAAAGCTATTTGTTTCTTTCATAGTTGTAATGGAAATCCATAAATGCATTTGTTATCGCTGTTAATTTTTTATATAAGATGCTTTGTAAAATACAAATTAGAATTATGAACTATATGCAGTTGATTGTAAGCATTTAAGTAGATCAGCTATCTCAGCTTTTTATTTTGTTATTTTGATCTTTACTTCATAATTGATATATTAATGTTATATGCTGCATAGGATATATTCTATTAATTTTTTTAAAAAATGTTTTATTAATTTTTAAGAATTACAATCTTTAGTGCTTAATAAAAAAACATGTTATCTGGGTTCACATATTTAACATTAATTTCTTCAATGTAAATCTATTCAGTACTGCACAATCCAATATTTTTTTCTTGATCCTCCTTTCTTCCCCATACTTTTTCCATTTTCCCCTCATTACACAGTTACAATTCTTGGTACTATTGATGTATACAAGTTAGATATATACATCTTCATCATATTTTACTAATATTATACAAATAATAATATCAATTCATAAATCAATATCCTGTTTTTCGTGCTCTTGTTAAAGTTTGATGTCCCATCAATATTTGAAGTATCTTTGTCAGTTATGATTTTCTCCATATTAATTACATTTATATCGCTAAAACTTTTACTCATATCAATCCTCCTCTTATTTTAATATTTCCCATATCAAAAAAGAAAAAAATACTATTTTAATTCTAAATCATATTTTTCATTATAAAAATCTAATTATATCTAAGGGCCATCCGTTCTTTTAATCATATTCAAACAAGTATTTAAACATATAATGCTCCATCTAATAAGTCAAATCTTCTATTTTTCAAATCTAACTCTCGCTTTCTTTCTTTGCCAAACAGCTTTCCAAGCTAGGGCAATTAAATCGCACAGGAATTTTCTATTTTTGTGAAAGTTGCTTTGCATGAGGAAGATAATTTAGGTAGAGTATTTTTTGAGGGGGGAATTCCACCCATTTATATTCCTTAAGCAACTCCCACTTTTCTTCTCCCTCCATTTCTCTTTTTATTTTTTCTCCCAAGTTGTAACATTTCCCCTGACAGCTCTATGTTCCATTTTTTAAACATCTTCTTCTTTGTCATCAGGTGTATTTTGCAGTCTTAAGGGGTAAAGGGTCTTTTGCATTTTCATTGTTATGTGTAGGTCTTGCAGTATTTTATTCGTATATGGTAGTTTATATTTCCCTTCTTTTATCTCTTCTATCTCTAGGTCCATTTCCTCTGCTTCATCTTCTGAGTTCTGATTTCTTTGTTTCTATTTTGTAGTCGTTTTCTGGGAACTTTCTACAGTAGTTATAGATTTAATTTGGAGATTTGCTCATTTATATTATCTAAATTATTTTTAGTCTCATTATGGTTCATTTTTATGTCCTCTTTGTATGCAACAATTGTTTGGTGAATTAGTTGTAGCGTAGAGTATATTTCCTTCTGAAAGATGTTTGTTTTTTCTTGAGGCATCATTCCTGGAGTTCCTCTGGTATCACCAGTCTCAGTAAAAGTAGAACAAAGTTTCCTCTAGTTTTCTGGTCTTTATATGTAGCCTTTATAATCCAATAGATTCCAGAGTACAGGTCCAGTCCCAAAAACAATTATTTTATAGTGATCCTTTGTCTCAGGCATCCAAAAATTTTCAGTCAGGCAAGATTATAATCCACAATGTTCAGAATGTCCAACCTCCCTGAATACAGCTCAAAAGTCTCTCCCAGCCAGACATATTCAAAGGTCATAGGGTATTATTTTATATGGAGAAGCTGGATTAACGTGTAATGAAACAAACATAACCAAATATATTGCTAACCTGGTGTTTTTATTTAGCTAGTATGCACCCAGCAAATACTTAGAGGGTACAGGATGTGGAATTTTTTAGTATGTTAAGGAGGATTCAGAATTCAGCATTTGAAAAATTATCAAGCAGTACAAGGCTCCATTTTCACTTAAATATAAATATTTCCCTTTTCACATTTGCCTTTTTATAAAACTCACTGATGAATCCTTTGTTGACTAAATGGAGCTGTGTAGCAGTTATTTTCTTCCAAATCTGGCAGCCTTTCCTTGTCCAGACTCATTGGCTTTCTAGGTAACCATCCTCGAAACCTGCTTAATTCTTTCTCAATTCTGCAAGAGACGAAAGGGAAGGCAAACTTAACAATACCAATATATTTAAATGGAAATAAGCATTTTCTATACATAAACATTTTTATGGATACAGAGGATATTAAATGTAATAATTTTCCAGACATTAATCACAATTAACTCTGCCATGACTAAACAGCCTATACTTATATGTGTATACAATATGTGTGTATGTGTGTGTGTGTGTGTGTGTGTGTGTGTGTATTGAATGAATGAATGAACCTTTATTATCAGAGTATAACATGTATACAGTGAGATTGGCTTGCTTCACAATAGATAAAATAGAGGATTCTTCAGATACATCTCTTATAATCACATCTTTGCTTTGACAAAGATTTTGAGATGGAAAAGCAAAGGAATGAAGTATTTAGATTTCTCTTCCTTTTAAATGTCTTAGTTCAAAAAGCTAGTCAGAGCTTTAAAGATTGTAGCAAATAAGAAAAGATGCTTTGGCAATAATCTCAGGACAAAATAATCTTAGCACAAAATTTCAATATAGACCATTTTTTAACAATTTAATTTTCAAAAGGTTTAACTCTTTGATTAAAAAATTAATCTTATCTGAAAAACTACATAAAATAAAATAAAAACTTCCTAGACTCATTATAAAAGATTCTGGCAGCAGAACTTTACAGAAATGGTTTTGCTGCCATTTTCTACCTACTCATTTGTCACAAAGAGAGCTTTTAAAAAACATTGGTATCTTAGTTTGTTTCAATAGTACTTATTTTGGTCTAGCTAGGTGATTATGAAAAGCTAATCAGGACAATGTCTGGTAAATATTTGGATAAGAAATTGAGAATAATAGGCTAGTCTAGGAAGGAAAAAAAATGTGGAAGAAAACAATTCCCAATCACTACCAAGAAAACTTCCTGGATGTATCAATATAGAAACCAAGTGCTGAGTTTTATTTACTTCAAAGAGACTTTAATGCTTATTTGAGTATGCTGCAAAATGTATTAACTGTCAGAATGTGTCATGTGCACTGGTTTTCCATACCCAATCCCAAAACTCTGAGTTTGTTTTTTAATAAAAGCACAACAGTTATCAGGAGACTAGTCAGTTAATATATAATGTATTATTCAATCAGGTTTGCAAGTGTACAAATAGCATATCTAGGCAACATGACCTACATGGCTTGGGATCAGGTTACCCGAAAGACCATCTTTTTTCAAGAGTATCTACCTATTCAATTTGGTCCAGAAGATCCCACCTGAGTGTTGGCTGACAGGGATCAGAAGATGGGCCTTTTCTTTGGTAGACCTTGCTCAGTCAAATATTCTCCAGCCCTGTTGACCTTCTGTAAGGTTTTAAAAACTTGACTGTGTACCCGGTCTCTGAATGTAAGAGCCTCATTTCTTAACATCAGTGGCATTATGGTCTAGTGCAGTGGTTCTCAACCTTTTTAATGCCGCGACCCCCAACCGGTCGTAAGTCGAGGACTACTCAACTGGTGAAGCACCGTTTGCAGAATGGAACTTTTGGTGGGCTCAGCAGGGCAGAGACAGCCTGGACAATTCCTATTGGCTTTGGAAAGCCAATAGAATTAGACTCTATTCAAGAGAGTCTATTCTATTGGCTTTCAAAAGCCAATAGAATAAAAGGGAGTAGCACAGCTAAGGAAAAGGGGGAAAAAATGGCGGACTGCGTTGTTTGGCGACCCCGTGAAATGGTCGTTCGACCCCAAATGGGATCCCGACCCACAGGTTGAGAACCACTGGTCTAGTGAAAGGTCAAAACAAAACAAAAATCTAGAACATACTTGTGATTGTCTGAATATCTATTCCTAGCTGAAATGTCCTATCTATATTCTTACTTATCATTGTTTTGTAGGATATTTCATATTATTATTTGGAGATACTCTGAAATATATTTACATCCATCATAATTTACTTTACAAACAAATCTGTATCTTGTTTGGGCTGATAATATATTCAGTGACTCTCCAAGGTACAATTCTTTAACACATTATTTGTTTCTTTCAAAATTTTATACTGCTTTTATCTATTATGCTTTTAATCATAAAACTTTGGCTTCTTAGGGGAAGGAACAAAACAACAAATTTAAGATGCATAGCGGGAGGTTTTTTTTTTGCTAAAAGTGAAAAGCAGATACAATCGCTCCATTTTATCTTAGGAACCAAGTGGAAGAAAAAGTTAATAACACCTGAAATCACTCTCTACCTACAAAGATCTGAGCAGCGCAAGCAATTGTATTCCTTGCGATATGCCATCAAAGTGGAAGTTGGATTTTGAAAAAAGCAGGATACAAAAAGTACAGATAGTCCTTGCCTTATGACCATTTACTTAGCAACTGTTCGAAGTTAGGATGGGGTTTCATGAATGTCATATACCATTTCTCTTCAAAGGAATACACCCAGGGGAATTGCCATTTGATTGGTGCAATTACTTTGGATTTGACACCAGAAAGTCACTTTAATGCCTGCAGGAGCATAAATATAACCCCTTCCTATCACTTCATAAAGAATCCATCCCTTACCTGAGATTATACAGCAGCTGGAAAGCCTTCATAGCCTTGTTATAGACCTTTAAGTTAATGAAGTGGTATACAAATATTATCATCATATTTGAGGAATAAGTGATAATGCCTGGAAGAGCTCAATTAAAAAGTATCTTTGTAATTACTGCTTTTATAGAAACCATAAAAGTTTAGATTTTTCTTCTGTGATTTAACTTTTTGATTAAACTGAACTCCCAATAAATAAAACAAAACCCACTAACTTCTTCAGGAACTTGTAGCGCCTATGCAGGTAATAGAATTTTCTCCTGGAAGAACAGCAAAAATGAAGCCAGTCGAGAAGAAAACCCATCGTCAGTTACAGTATGAACTAGCAAGGAAGGAAAGGAGATTGAAGACAGAATCCTGTAAGAGGTGGAAGAAGAAACTAAAAAGAGATTAACAATCAGAATCATTTTAAAAACATTCTTAATCTTTTTCTCACACTTTCTCTGTATGTGCGTATACAAGCATGTATGTTCATTATTTTCTTTTTTCCAATTAAGTCATACACCTTGAAGCATTTTTTGTTCAATGAATCATGGAACCTGAAATGAAATAAAATGCTACGCTTTTATATTGATAATAAAATGCTTTAAATAGGGGGAATATAAAACTGTTATAGTTATACATGCAATACATGATCAGGTGACATTGATGCTAGGGATGCAGTTTTGAAAAGATTACGTTCATGCACAATAGTATGATACTGAGGCATTTAGTATATGTTTTCCATACCAGTTTTTATATTTTCTGTATCTGTGATGTGACTATGAGATTGTATTGGTTAGAATGGCTTGTGCATCCTCCATTATGAATGTGATGTAAGAGATTCATGGGACAATGCTACTAATTCAGATTACATTGGGTGTAATTTTTTGTGTGCTAAAGACAAAGTCACACAACTGAAGTTATGGGCTGAAGTTAACTCAAGCGCAAAAAGCAACATAGTAGGGGCTTATTATACTGCCACCTTGCCCGATGACCATGGCCAGCAACCATGTTGAGGGCAAAAATCAAGGACATTGTTTTATATTCCTTCCCCCTCCCAATGCAACCTCTAGGTATGTCTTCTTGCTCCCCTTTCAAAGCCTTATTGCCTGCATCTTTCAACTCAAACATTGCTGTCTGGTTTGCTCATTGTGCTTTAATTTATTCTAGGCCAACACTTAATTTCGATTAACTGCCTTGCAGAGACAGGATCATCCTATCAAGTGGGTAAACGTTTGTTGCCTTGGATGCATTCTGGAGTTATAGCTGAAAGATGATGAAACTGTGCACTGGTACATTTATTAAAAACAAAAATAAAATCCACTGGAAAAATCACTCAGGAAAAAAACATTTCTGTTATGAACCAGCAACCATCTATATCTCATACAAGTTGTGTCTCTTGCATTATTACTAGTAATAGTTCTGAAACTACTGGAGTTAGAGATCTACAATGTGACAATATATTTTTTTTATTTCAGTGTTGATTATTCTATCTGTACATACGTGTGAGCTTGTGTGCATGTATGCATATGCACACTGTATATATGCAGCCACTTCTCATTAAAAAACTGTCTCATTCATGTGACTGTGATCACAAATATGATGAGGTAATAAATGATATAACAAAATTCATTTTTCAACACCGTGTACATTTGCAACTAAATTTTGTGTATCTAAACAATACATGCTGGAGTCTCTCTCTCCCTCTCTCTGTCACATGTTCACTTAGCATCCATTTTGATTAAGGACATGGTGGTTGGAACAAAATGCAGTCACTAAAAAGGAGTGGAGGTATATATATATTCAGTTTAGCATTCTAAGTATGGAAAATGATTGGCAATTGCTTTTCTGGTACAAACAATTAGGAGTCCTCAGCAGCATAGCAATTGTCCAATTGTAGCCTGCAATCCAGATAAACACCTTGCATGTCAAAGGATCTCAGCTTCTCCAGGATATTCATCAGCTGATCTAGAATAAAGCTGAACAGGCTAGGAACAGTATGGACATGCCCCCAAACAACTGATATCAGAAATTCTTTCTAGGTATATTGGAATTAAAGATATATTTTTATATTGTATATAAAGATATATTTTTATACTGTATGTTTATTGGCAGCTATATCTAGGTTGCATAGCTAGACTGAAAAAGCTGCTTTAGGAACACAATGAAAGAACTTCTCTGTTCCTTGCAGAGGTGATATGGAATTCTGCTCAATTAAGATTTAATTTAAATAAAAATAGAACTGTAAAACTGGTAATGGTCTCCCTATATTAAGAATAGGTTTTAAGCTTTAAAAATATTACCTCATTGCTTTAAGTGAAGTACTATTAAGAAAACTGAGATGAAATTTTTCATAGGGCTTAAGGATTATTGTATTTTCAAATGTTCTGTATGAACATTACATGCTCAACTTAGCTAAGAAACTGAATATGGTTATTAGAAGTAGAAATGTCTTTTCCTCTTTGGATGTCAGAATTTCCATTGGAAAGGAAAAGCTGCATAAATCATTTACGAAATTCACTACAATAATATGAGATGATAGCTACTTCAGTAGATCCTATGCAGGAGAACAATTATGCAGAACAAAAAAAAAATGGAGGACAAGATTGAGCAGAGAGGTCTCATATTTGTTGGGCCAGTTCAATTTCAACACATTGGCTTTTCTAATCTAGTGTTATATCATAAAGATCTTATCATTTGGGGAACTTGGTAGAACTAAGGGAACTTAGTGTCCCATAGGGACCCTATATGCCCATATTCATGAATATATGCACCATCATTCAGCAACTGAATTATCAAGTGTACTGCTAGGTATCCAGAGGAGAAAAAGCAATAGCAAATGGACACCACCTTCATATTTTTTTCATAAATTTTCCAAAGCATATTCTGGATTCTTTTCAGATCATTTCCCTTTTCATTAAAGAATGCTGGAAACAGAATGCTAGCTATAAAGCATTTTGGTCAGCATTAAACTTATAGACATCCACACTTTATTACCCAAACATTTTTAGAATGAATTTAGAATTAAGTTTACAACTTACAATGAAAATTCAGTCAATGCTGAAATTATTACAATTTTATAGAACAGAGTTAAAATTTTAAAAATCATGTCTTTGCAATTAGCTCTGCATATTAATACCTTTTTAGAACCTAATTAGATCAGAAAACTTTACATAGTAAAAATTTAATTTTTATTTATGTAGAGTATCCTTTGTAAAATTTAGATTAATCAAATTTCTTTTAGAACACTCATATAAATCTATAGCTCCTTCATGGATTACTGCCTTGTCGTGGTGAAGGAGCTCGCGTAACTCAATGAAGCTATGAGCTATGCTGTGCAGGACCACCTAAGATGGACAGGTCATAGCAGAGGACAAAATGTGATCCACTGAAGAAGGAAATGGCAACCCACTCCAGTATCTTTGCCATGAAAACCCCATGGACAGTACCAAAAGGCAAAAAGATATGACGCTGGAAGATGAGCCCCTCAGGTTGGAAGGTGTCCAATATGCTACTGGGGAAGAGTAGAGGACTAGTACTACTAGCACCAGAAAGAGTGAAGTGACTGGGCCAAAGCCGAAAGGACGCACAGCTGTGGATGCATCTGGTGGTGAAAGGAAAGTCCGATGCTGTAAAGATTTTTCTCCATAGGAACCTGGAATGTAAGATCCATGAATCAAGGCAAGCTGGATGTGGTCAACAAGAGATGACAAGACTGAACATCGACATCTTAGGAATCAGTGAACTAAAATGGACAGGAATGGGTGAGGACCATCAGGTATACTAGAGGACTAGAGGACCATCAGGTATACTACTGCTGGCAAGAATCCCTCAGAAGAAATGGAGTAGCCTTCATAGTCAGTAAAAGAGTAGAAAAAGCAATACTGGGATACAATCCCCAAAACGACAGAATGATCTCAGTGCGAATCCAAGCAAACCATTCAATATCACAGTAGTCCAAGTCTATGCCCCAACCACTGGTGCTGAAGAGGATGAAATTGACTGATTCTATGAAGCCCTACAGCACCAAAAAATGATGTCCTTATCATCATGGGGGATTGGAATGCTAAGGTAGGAAGCCAAAAGATAACTGGAATAACAGGCAAGTTTGGCTTTGGAGTACAAAATGAAGCAGGGCACAGGCTGATAGAATTTTGTCAAGAGAATATGATGGTCATAGAAACACTCTTTTCCAACAACCTAAGAGACGGCTCTACACATGGACATCACCAGATGGTCAACACAAAAATCAGATTGACTATGTGTTCTGCAGCCAAAGATGGAAAAGCTCTATACTGTCAGTAAAAACAAAACCAGGAGCTGACTGTGGCTCAGATCATGAGCTTCTCGTTGCAAAATTTAGGCTTAAATTGAAGAAAGTAGGGAAAAACACTAGACCACTCAGGTATGAACTAAATCATATCCTTGATGAATATACAGTAGAGGTGATAAATAGATTTAAGGAATTAGATCTAATAGACAAGAGTGCCTGAAGAACTATGGACAGAGGTTTGCAACATTGTACAAGAGGTAGCAACTAAAACCATCCCAAAGAAAAAGAAATGCAAGAATGCAAAATGGCTGTCTGAGGAAGCTTTGCAAATAGCTGAGGAAAGAAGGGAAGCAAAAGGCAAGGAAGAAAGAGAAAGATACACCCAATTGAATGCAGAATTCCAGAGAATAGCTAGAAGAGATAAGAATGCCCACTTAAATGAACAGTGCAAAGAAACAGAAGAAAACAATAGCATAGGGAGAACCAGAGATCTCTTCAAGAAAATTGGAGATATGAAGGGAATGTCTCATGCAAAGATGGGCATAATAAAGGACCAAAATGGCAGGGACCTAACAGAGGCAGAAGGGATTAAGAAGAGGTAACAATATTACACAGAAGAATTATACAAGAAAAAGCTTAGCATCCCTGGTAACCACGATAGGGTGGTCACTGACCTCAAGCCAGACATCCTAGAATGTGAAGTGAAATGGGCCTTAGGAAAGCTGAGCAACAACAAAGCTAGTGGAGGTGACAGTATTCCAGCTGAGCTATTCAAAATCTTAAAAGACGATGCAGTAAAAGTGCTACACTCAATTTCCAGCAAATTTGGAAAACTCAACAGTGGCCACAGGATTGCAAAAGGTCAGTTTACATTCCAATTCCAAAGAAAGGAAATGCCAGAGAATGTTCAAACTATTGCACCATTGCACTCATTTCACATGCAAGTAAAGTTATGCTTAAAATCCTACAAGCTAGACTCCAGCAGTATGTGGATAGAGAACTTCCAGAAGAACAGGCAGGATTTCGAAGAGGCAGAGGAACTAGAGATCAAATTGCCAACATACGCTGGATCATGGAGAAAGCTAGGGAGTTCCAGAAAAACATCTACTTCTTCTTCATTGACTATGCTAAAGCCTTTGATTGTGTGGATCACAACAAATTGTGGCAAGTTCTTAAAGAGATGGGAATACCAGACCAGCTTATTCGTCACTTGAGAAACCCATATGCGGGTCAAGAAGCAACACTGAGAATTGGACACAGAACTACTGATTGGTTGAAAATTGGGAAAGGAGACCGGCAAGGCTGTATTCTGTTGCCCTGCCTATTTAACTTATATGCAGAGCACATCATGAGAAAGGCAGGGCTAGATAAATCAAAAATTGGAATTAAGATTGCCGGAAGAAATATCAACAACCTAAGATATGCAGATGATACCACTCTAATGGCAAAAAGTGAAGAGGAACTAGAGCCTCTTGATGCAGGTGAAGAAGGAGTGCAAAAGTTGGCTTGAAACTCAGCATTAAGAAAACCAAGATCATGGCATCCGGCTCTCTCAATTCCTGGCAAATAGATGGGGAAGAAATGGAGATAGTGACAGATTTTATCTTCCTGGGCTCCAAGATCACCACAGATGGGGACTGCAGCCAAGAAATTAAAAGACGCTTGCTCCTGGGGAGGAAAGCTATGGCAAATCTAGACAGCATACTAAAAAGCAGAGACATCACCCTCCCAACAAAAGTACGTGTAGTCAAGGCCATGGTTTTCCCAGTTGCAATGTATGCTGTGAAAGTTGGACCATAAGAAAGGCTGAGCACAAAAGAATTGAGGCCTTTGAACTATGGTGTTGGAGAAGACTCCTGCGAGTCCCCTGGACTGCAAAGCGATCAAACCGGTCAGTCCTAGAGATCAACCCCTGACTGCTCTTTAGAAGGCCAGATCCTGAAGTTGAAACTCAAGTACTTTGACCACCTAATGAGAAGGACTCACTGGAGAAGGGCCTAATGCTGGGAAAGATTGAGGGCAATAGAAGAATGGGACGACAGAGAATGAGGTGGTTAGATGGAGTCACTGAAGCAGTAGGCGTGAGCTTAAATGACTCCAGAAGATGGTAGAGGACAGGAAGGCCTGGAGGAATGTTGTTCATGGAGTCGCGATGGGTCGGACTTCGCAACTAACAAAAGCAAATAAATCTATAGAGGTGACAGATGAACTAAGTTATATATTATGTTACTATTAGCCGCTTTATGTTAATGTAACATATGCCAAATGTATCTTGAAATACTACATTTTTAACAATATGATGTAGGAATCGATTTTAGTCAATTACAATTCTTGTAATATATTCAATTTTAGAAAAAATATAGAGTTAAATATACAAAAATTGTCATAATGATATATTGAGTTAATTGACTATTATTATCACAGCACATTTTAACAATTCTTTTCCAAAATAACAATAAATATTTAATTTTTTCCATCTGAATTCTTGAATGTTTAGGTGAACTTTGTTTCTAATAATGCAACATACATCATAGCTGATCACAGCCACTAAATATGCCAGATGGCACTTGGATGTTTGTTTCCTTTCATTGATTGCAAAGAAGTCCCCTTAAAAAAAAGCAGGATGTGATTTGGGCTCTACCCAAAGGACAGAATGCTCTATGACAGTGGTTCTTAACCTTTTTGAATGAATCACCCCCTTAACCCAATGAGGAAGTTGTCATCGCCCCCTTCCCCCAACATAACCTCTCAATCACAACATAGGAAATAATTCTTCAATTTATGCAAACGCTTTTTTGTTTTCTTTAAAATTGTCATCAGGACATATGAAGCAAATAATTTATTTCCAGTCTTTTTCCCATATCTCAACTGTGTGAAAAATTTTGGTGCCACCTGTCACTTTATTCCCAAACTTCGTGATACATGTATTTCATTATTATCTTATTTATTCAAGACATTTAAATGTAATGACCACTGAAAACAAAATTCAATTGCAAGAAAGTGAAATTCCCAAAAAGAAAAACAGTAACATTTAATGATTGAATTACAAGTGAAATTTAAGATGCAAAAAGAAATATAAAAAGGGCATAAGAACAAACCGCAATGCAGGAACTAAGAATTTCAAGACGAAAACTCTGAAACTAAATTAAGATTCGAGGAAAATATATATAGTTACGCACATTGTAAAAAGGATTAAAAAGACACAAAGAAAATATAATATCGAACTGGAGTGCATGCTAAAAAAGTACAATACAAAGAGACATACAAAACAGCATGCAATGTTTTGAAAGAAACGCTCCCCCCTCCATCATTGCCCATTCTGGCCAATGGTGCGCCGCTGTATGGGTAGCAACCCAAAACACTCAAAGAGCCACTTGGACCCATTTCCCACTGAAAACAAAACACTGGGAGCCGCAAAACCTTTTTGACATCTAAAATGAAGATAACATTGCATATATCCTTTTTTATCTTTATTATATATATATATATATATCTTCAGTGTTATCTTCATTTTAGATGTCAAAAGGGTCTCTCTCTCTCTCTCTCTCTCTCCCTCTCTCTCTCCCCTCTTTCTGCCTTGGTTTGCCAGTCCTCTTCCCATACTCAGTTTGTGTGTGTGTGTGTGTGTGTGTGTGTGTGTGAGAGAGAGAGAGAGAGAGAGAGAGAGAGAGAGGGAGAGGGGGGAAAGAGAGGCACTTGCGCTTCCTCTCTCTCTCTTTCCTCTCTCCTCTCTCTCTCTTTTTCTCTTTCCCCTCTCCCTCTCTCTTTCCTCTCCCTCCCCCCCTTCTTTCTCCAGGTGAGGAGAAGAGAACCAAAGGCAGAGGGTGCCGAAGTGGTGGGGAGGGGGCCAGGAGGCAGCAGAAGACCCCCTGTTGCCGCTGGAGGCACCCAGCTCCGCTACCTGCTGGGCCTGCGGGGACACCCCGGCTCACGGTCACATTGGCAGGCCATCCCACGTGCCGCTGACGTCCCCGGGCTCAAGTCAGGGCCACGGGGCATCTATGGAATGCCCCGCCCGTCGGCTGCATCGCCAAGCCTCC